ATTATGAATTTTACTTGTTCTTGCATGGTATAGGAATGGTAAAACAAAATAGTCAACCAGAAGATGGAGGGGAATCTAGATTTTAGTAAAACTGAAGATTTAGTATCCCTAGTTACACAAGTTTACAATTTTCTTTCACATCTACTACAGTTCACAATAAGATTCATGACAATTATCATCATCATTGCCTTATGGCATTTGGCATAACTATAAGCATATTCTGTTAATGTGACTGACAGGTCTTTCCTAATTTTTTTTTTACTACAAAACGTTTCTTGTTAGGTTATCTGGCCTGTGACCCTTTCAAATAACACCACCCACATTCTGTATAAAAATAACTGCCCACCCCTGCAATATCATCGGATACTACAATAGGCCAAATGATTAGTAGTCTTGATTAAATGCCAGCCAAGCACTTGCAAGCATTCATGCATCACATGTAGTACAAAATACTTGAGTTAAAATGGGCAACAGAGAGCACTAGATTCCAGTCTCAGCCATACCACTATACTCAGCAGTTATCAGACATACACTGTGGCAATACGCTGACTCCCCAAACACCTTCACACCATGCATGCAACACTACACACACACATGCACACATTACACATATGGAGATAAGTGATCAATTACCAAGACCATAACAATTCTTATCATAAAAAATTATTTGGCCTTTATGACTACTTTTCTTAAGACAGCCACAGACTGAGGACAAATTTGTCACCCTCTGCTAACTCAAAAACTGTTTTTGCCATAATCTGAGCAGAACAGGGCATCAGAGATGAAAGTAACCATGTAAGAAAAAATTAGGTCCCTCAACTACCATGTGAGGTGGTCAGACTATCTAGAACCTTCACAAGCACCTGCAACTAACTTTCACAAGATGAAATGTGGTAAGGTGGATTCATCTGCTCCATGGAAGTTCTGCGACCTCAACCACCAAGTCACAGACTCTAGCCCCTGATAAAATGTGAAAATCGGAGATTTTACAAAATAAAAAGTTTCACTGTAACATCCTCATATTACTTCTGAGAGGCAAGACTTGAGAGAAATTCAAAACTTTTCACTGTCTTTCTACAAAGACTGTGTGTAAGTGCATGCATTCATGCACACGTGCACTAGCCATCAATGTGCAACTTACCATCAAAATCCTTTTTAATCTACAGTTATTAATCCTCTCCAGACAGTGTTATTGGACATTTCATGTTACAGAGAAACATGAAATGTGAAAAGAATACAGTTTATCAAAGGGTCAATCTAACCAATACAGACTATTGCTCTAATTAACACTAGGTGAAGATGCAGTTTCTTTGTACAGTCAACCTACCAATTCTGGAAATATTGTTTACAGCAAACCACCAATTAAAATACAAAATTATGTTGCAGTGTCTACAACAGATATGAGTAGACTCTACTAGACTCTTAAAATAATCTTTTGAAATACACCGCAAAGTTTATGGTCAACTTGTAGGCCACCTTGACCTAAGCTAAACGTTCTGATTGTACTCGTGGATAGTTTACAAAAAAAAAAATGTAATTGTACATATTCAGTAAACGGATGAGGTATTCCTAGCTAGACTGAAGTAGTGATAATGTTCTTATGCTGTGAAAGCATTTCCACAATAAGGAATAAACAAAAATCTGACATGACTTCAAATTAAAATACTAACAAGCTCTGCATTACTTTTCACGATAAAAGACCCCGGTACAAGCTTCTTTCATTGCAGTTCATTTATAGAAATTTTTAAATAAACTTTCTAAAGCACACAATTGCCACAATGTTGTCTCCTTCGTGGTTCATTTCACAACACTTTCTCAATTCACAAGTTATATTCCATCACATGGGAAAGTTATCAGCAATGACAGAGGAAGGAAATGAAGTGATACTATCCTAATATTCTCCTGAAGGGACCAAGAAAGACCACAAAAGATCTTAATCAGAACAGCTGGTCTCCATGCTAAGATTCAATCTTGGGTCTCCCAGACATGAACCAGAAGTCAACCACTCAACCATAATATTATATACTAACATCCTGTTGCATTTTTCACTTGTGTTCATTAATTACAGTCTCATGTGCAACACTATGTTCTATAAAAATCTATTTACTTTAAAAGTTCAGAAGTCCATCACTAAACGTTTCAACCAATATGGTCATCATCCGCTGTTAAATTTTTTTGGTGAGGAAACTGCCATCTTTTGTTACTTATTTTGTTAAATATATAGTTCCTCTCAATGTGCATATATGTTTGAGTTGGTGGGTTGTTCTCTCTTGTTGTGTTTTGTACTGAATGTCTTGTTCTCATATGCAGCTCACAACCCACCAACTTAAATATATATGTGCACCAAGAGGACTTATACATTTAACAACTAAAGCAAGAACAGAAGGCAGCAGTTCCCTCACAAAAAAATTAATACCTGATGATGACCACACATGTCAAAACATATAGTGTTGCACATGAGACTCTAACTAATTGACACTTAACTCAACCATGATGTTCAGCACTTCCTTAATGTTAAATTACTGCAACAATTGCATCATGACAGAAGTAACTTTCAACAATGCAAGGAACATTGCATATGAATAAAGTACTTGTCATTTCAGTCTTTCTTGAATGCCTCATATTTTTATAACTGTTGTGAACATCTGCTCAAGCAACATACTTTCCTCTTCTCTGATATCCTTTTGTGACTGGCTTTCATACAGGGCTCCAGAAATAGGTTTTCACACTTCATATGGCAAGCTTACAAACAGGTGGAAAGAATAAAAAGTCTGTATTTGTATAAAGCACACAGTGAGACTACATGTAGGGTACGACTTTAAGCATCCAGAAGATTTAAGGTGTATTTCTGAAGCCTTACCTTATAATGTTTCTTGAGGCATAAAGTCAGCAATACTAATTATGACAAATTTGTGATGTCATGTTGAACAAAATCACAGCTAACAGATTCTGACTGAATTGTACCACCCAAAGTTATAACATGAATGATAATCATTGCTACCTATAACAGTCAGTTCACAGCTATAGTATTTCCCACTTATTCTGCTGCTACTAACAATGACCTCTTCTTCGAATATACATATATCTGTGGCAAGATCTCATAGCGAGTAAAGATCTATGGAATTATAAGAAAGATACTATCTACACTAGACAGAATAAATTAAGGTATGTGCAACAAGCAGATGCATATAAAATATCAATAAAAATAATATACAAGCATAAAAAAGATGCCAACAGCTTAAGAAACATGTGAGATTACACTTGGTGATGTGCGTAATGTTATGATGCTACATACTACCAAAACACCATTATAACATGCAAAATTAGGCATATCTTCTGTCTGAAAGACCTCATGCATAACTACAAAATTCCCGTGTCAGTAAGAGTACTTTAAAATATATCTATTTACATATATAAGGTGCTTGTTTATATTACAGTACAACTAATACTAATCATATCCATCATACAAGAGGAAGGACAAGATGAAAAGGTGGATATCAATTTCCATTTCACAGTCACCCTTTCCAGATAACATATCAAAGTTCCTGAGTTTAGTTTTCTGAAATATTTTTGGTTTTACAAGTAGATCAACATCTTTGGGCAGATATTAAGGTTCTCACAGCGACTAAATGTAACCGCTTTCTCAGACAATGAGGTCTGCTGGTTCCTAACAATGGAGGCAGTCTCCAAAACACTGGAGTTTCGTTCCACATTGACGTGGCTGGTCACTTCTGAAGAAATCACTAAACCTTAGTGAGAATTGATTTTACACATGAAAAGCAGATCATCTTTCTGATTATATCCTTTAAATTTAGTGACAAAACTAAAAATTCACAAAGTATTAGGATAATATTTGAGGGTTTTCTGAAAGAATACATTTTAAAAACTCAACACAGCACACACTGGGTTGACATAGTAAAGATTCCTTACCCAGCCAACAGAAGCAATCAGGAATGGCAGCAGTGAAAAGGGTTAAAAACATACAAAGTTTTATAATAAAATCACAAAGATGTTTTGGCTGTCTCCCATTCTGCACAATGTTTCATCTCTAATGATAATCAATATACAGGATAAAGTTTGTAAAAGTAAAAAAAGGTAAAGATATCCCTGTAACAGGCCGTGGAGGCCCATAGGGTTGTGAGATGTTGAGGCTCCCACATTTTCTCTAGACAATCGGCTCAAAGATGGCAGTAAGGTTGTCAGCCTTATGCGCCTGCCGCCCTTTACCCCCAAGAATATTCCTGGTACTCATTTCTGTTGGAAGCTGAGTCGACCCCAGGGCCACAGTGCAACTGGAAGGATTAGGTAAATTGAAAAAGTTCCAATGACCTCATTGGGGTATAAAGTTGTGTATATATGTAATATCAACCTTTTCTCCTTGTTCCCTTCAACTTTTCACATCACAGCTCAAGGTTCATGTTTTTAACATAAAGAGCATTATGACATTGTACTGTACAATCTGCATACAAACTGGAAAAAAACATACAAACTTCAGATCATGAAATGGGTCATTACAACAACTGGGCACAGCAGCGGCATTGGCATATTATAGCAATTCTTCAGTGCCACTTACTATGCTACAAAACACAAAAACAAATTCCTATTATGTACCAATGGCACAAAGTGCTTCTTCCTTGCATATAAATTCTGTTAAATTATGCAAAGAAAAAAAACACGATTTCTATTATAAGGTGAAATATTTGTAAATTAGCTACAAATAAACTATACAACTTCAATGAAAACTTAACAACAAATGAAGACATACAATCAAAAGGTCCTGTGACATTCCATAATTTCTTGAAAGGCAATCAACAAGTGGCTCAAAAGTTTTCTTACTAATACAAATACTAAATGGCCATACTAATAAACCCCCGAGTCACCATTTTTCATCTTAATTTGTGCTCAGATTTGCCAAAATTTACAACCCAAATTTCAAATTTGGATCCATTGCTTTGGTGTAAATGATTTTCTTTTCCACTTTCTTCTTTCTCAGTTTGAGATCAGCAAATGTATTTCCATAATTTTTATTGCCAACTTTCCTATTAGCTCCTACAGACAAAACCTGATCTCAGGTGGTCACACAGATGTAGTTATGATTTAGCTCTATCTAACAGACTCAACTGAGGGCCTCCTCAACCTTGCACAAATGAGGGTGGGGACAGATCTAGTTTTCAAAACATTCTGTTCTTTTAGAATGTTAGATGATGTGTAAAGTTCAGAAACTCAGCAATCCCAAGTGTAATACACTTCTGTCAGAATAATTTTGAACTGACCTTATTTGTACTGTTAGAATGGAATTCAGTTTGTGGTAAAAGTTAGCAATATAAAGCTGATTATTAATTTCAGCAGTGTCCAGTGTGCACAGTTCCACACACCTCCTTACTCATGAGGAGAACCCCATAAGAATCCATGATTTAGGAGTGTACCACATATCTGTGATGCTATGAAGTACCTGGATGTTCAAGTATGAAACAGTGACCAGACTTGTTTGCTGCTTCATGACAGCCTTGTTTCTGTTCATTTTATAGTTACTGGTTTTTTAAAACTAATAGTTCTGTACCAAACATCTGCCTGTATAGCTTCCATTAAATTTAGAAGTTGAAAGCAATGTTCAATCATACCCAGAAGGAGATCATAAAGATGCTGGATTTGCCTTGATAGTGACTTTTGCTTCACCTCATATTGCCACTTACCACTTGCCAGGGAGGTTTTATCTGCTATGGTGTGACCTACCCTTGGTAGTTCCTTTTTTCCAGCTGTGTAAACATAACCCTTGACACTTTACAATACAAAACCCTCAACTTGAATTTTTTATAATCATACTGTAAACAAGTAATACATTGTATGTGCAACACACTGCCAAGATTTTGAACTTAAAAAAGGAAAAGAAATGTAAAATGAATGAGAGAAAAAGAAACCTGATCTATACACACTTCACACTAGTCAATGCCATTTTACAAAACCCTGAACTTGCTGCCCAAGTGAATGCAATAGAGAAAAACTGGATAGATGGCTAGTATTATGCTGTTTCTCTTGCATAATGCTGGCATCCAGACAAGAAAATGCCACCTATTACTTTGGTAAAAGTTCCAGCCATCTACCTTGTCATACCAAGAGGTTATACACAACTAAAATCAGAGCGTGTAATGGTATGCCACACCCATTAAGTTATCACTGGTCAATGATGGAATATTGTCATACCCAGCAAAAGGGTTCAATACACTCTGAACACCATATTCTCCTTCATAAATTTGCTGTGAGCTCTCCTCAATGATTCTACTATCCTGCTCCCCAGTCCCTACTGCAACACACACACCGTGCACATCATTAGACAGAAATTGTGTGGAGACACATGCACAGTGGATGCTGGAACCTGAGACATGGTGAGTGGCAAGAAGCCTCAGCCAGCAAAGGCAGCCTCAGAATCAACTAAGTATAAATCATGTGAGGGCATGGAAAAAAAAAACTGGGGCAAGATATTATGTAACAACTTGGCCATAGCTATTCTTTCACAAAGCAGTTCATTATAATTCTTTATGAAAAGGCAGAACAATGTGCCCATGACAGTTTGTCATCTTCCTTCATAATTATCTCTCTCTGGTTTTGAACATTTCACTGCCAAGCACAGAATTTGAATGAAATACATGCAGTATAACATAACACCCTACTTGTCAGTCATAACAATTCACTTTTCACAGACAGGAAAACAAAGGCACTTCTTGAGACTGTTACAACTCTACTTCTAACATCTGTTTCTTACTGCAAAAATTTACTTTTATGCAAGTCACATAGCAATCAAATCTCTCCAGCTGTATCTGTCTTCCCAAACCTTCTCCACCTCCTCCTAAACATCCTCCAACATTCATCCAGCCTTACATGCTGACACCTTTCCTAACCTGCTGTTTCTATCTCGATTTAAGTCTTCTACATGAGCATCTTTCTTTTATTGTCATGTTCAAAACAATGTTTGGGATTCTCTATTCACAATTAAATGCATCCGGACCATCTTATTCCATTATTCATTAATTTAATTTTCTATGCATTTCTCTCCAAATGCTATTTATTTTTATTATTACTTTTTAGCCTCTCTCTTGGTTTTTCTTTCTATAACCCCTAAAATTTCATCTCAGCTGCTGTCAGTCTACACTACACCAACAGCACTAAAACTTATAACAGAATTTCATCATCAAAAGGCTCACAATTCAAAATTACTGTTAACAGTTCCAGTTAGTTATTCATTTGCTGTGTGGCAGGGTTACAATGACTGTCCTGAAAGCACTGAAAACACCACCAAATTTGTATTGGTATAATATTAATAAAAACACAGTTTTTATATAACTACATTCACATAAATAATAGCGTCACTGTGTAGAAGGTATCTGTGTTGCAGTACCTGTTAGCCAGGCACACATATATTGACTAAATTTCACATTGGAAAGTCTGTTTCCTAGAAACCTAGCTACCAGGACAGTCAATAACCACCACTAACTTACTTCAAGGTATGTTTAGAACTCAGTCAAGAAGTAAATAAGGATGAAAAACAAAGTAATAACTATGATCTCATCATTATGTTCAGAACGGCTCTAGAGAGAGAGATTTAGAGGTGGAACTGACTCACTACAGACTGTATTGATGGAAGGCTCCGGCTATCAAAATCAAGAAATGGTCTCGCTGATGACATGCCTAGATCCTTCCATTAGCAATAATATGAACCTGCCCGATATAATCTCATACATAAATTTTTACGTGAAGATTAAAGAGCATATGTTTTGTTTGCATTGCAAACTAACAAATATTTTCATTTCATTACAAAATTTTCAAAACTTACATTTATACCAATGTTGTTAAAATCACACAAACATAGTAAATGTTATAATTCTGACACCACACAGAAGTTTTAAATGTTCTAAACATTCACCTTGGCAGCCATATTTGCATTACTATTACAAAGTCATGGTGTTATGAAGCTCTTTAACATTTCTGGCTCTGAATGGGAAGTGCTTACTTCTTGAACAACTTAAAGACAGTCAAGTCTTCTAATTACACCCTTAACCACAACAGTTCTATTACTGGTTAATATATCTGTTTTGAAGAAAACAATTAAAATCTGGATATGATGGTTTAGTTTAGCAGATGAGTATCTGCAGGAATGTAATTACCAAGCCACTGTCTAGCAATGGCAGTCTCTTCTGATTCCCATTATTCCAGCTTTCAGGCATCATGTCATATGGCTCCCTCGTTAATGCTGCTCATCCAAAGTTGTTAGGGGGGAACACACAGACATATGGACAGCATTATCTCATAAGACTACATCTAATTTTTTTCAAATATAGAAAGTGGGCTAAAAACTTAAACCAGCAATATGTAATGTAGATGGCTATACTAAATATCAGATTAGGTTGGTGGATAACAGCAGCACCATAAAACTGTCATATTGCAAAAATGAAACAAATCAATTCTTCCTTATATATGTCCTCTCACAAGTGCATGAAGTTGATAGGTCACACTACTGAGACATGTGCTGTTTGACTTAACACAGTGAAATATATTATTAGTGATGGCATCTAGCTGGACTAAATACACTACATAATAAGACAGCAGTTATAACACATGTGCAAATGATCAATTCTGTAGCATTTTCTCCCCTTTGTTTAATTATCTTCAAAATCATAAGACAAACTTGTTCCTGTGCTTAACTGATTAAGCAACATGCCATGAAGACATCTGGGGAAATGGAGATACAGCTCAACCCATTCTTAACCATGGCACTAGATTAGGGTGATATGTCATCTTCATGACCTAACTGCACTACTTCCAGCAAAAAGGCCCCCAGTACCCACTGGACAGGAGGCCAAGCAGTCATACAGCTGATTTGGATGCCATGGTGAAGAGGTAGAGTCTCTTGCCTCTGCCAGGAATCAAACCCCATTCCAGCCATATAGCCCATAACCTACTGCTATACTGACTTATCCCAGCCCTCCAAAACTATAAGACTGGAAGAAAAGTAAACTGTGATTAAAACGTGTGCTTCATTTTTCTCTATAACTTTTGCCTGAAACGTTCTCTTCTCTGATAACTACTTAGCAAGTTAAGCTTGAGAAGCGCATACAAATGCATCTTCAAGTAAAGTGTCTGTTATTACTGCCAAATTCTAAATGAAACTGGAATTTGTTGATAAATATTAGTAAAATTTACAAACCTTAAATTCATGACATATTATTCCATATAGATTTTAAAGGGTTCTGTCGATGGAAGAATTCCAAAAACCCATTAATTCTGAATATTATTCCATGGTTCTCAAGTTATTAGACGTGGACAGATGGACAGACAAAGAAGTAGGGAACTTTTGACTTTGAATGCACCAAAAAAGGTTATTTAAATTAATAATATTGTAGTGTGTAGACCTGATACTACGTAATGATTGCAAACAAACAGGATCCTATGGCAATGAAAAAACAGAGAACAGAGGAACTGTTGTAAGTGGTGTTTCTGTGGCCTGTGCCATGACTGTTGCTATGCAACAGCATAGTAAACACTTTTCTGCAGCAACAAATCCCAACACAATAATGCAGGAACTGTTTGAGGTGTTTTCTGTGTGGTCGGTGCCAAGGTGTTATCAATGAGACAAGTTTAGAAGTTAACTGAGAGAACATTTTAAGAAAGGCAATAGTCAGTTGTAATGGAGTCTGTGAAGAGCAGACTTAGTTGGTGCAGTTGAGAGCCAGTGGGCAACAAACTGGGCCTAGAAGCTGAAGAATCTCCACTGTCAGAAGACTGTTATCAGAAAACTAGTGGAGACTGCAACAGGCTGAGAACACTAGTCTGTGTGCAATAGTGATTTGTGAAGTCTAGGAATGAGTTGTATAAGTGGTCAATAAATAGAGTCACCAATTCAAGTTACTCACACACGTGACAATATGATCAGCTGCCAAATATTCTTTGTATTAGAAAGTATGCATGACAAGTTCTAGGGAAAAAAATCTTACAATTATTTTCAGGGCAAGAATGCAACTGTTACTTTAAAATTAGTCTGTTTTCTTTCTAAGTAACTTTGGTTTTCAACATCAACAAAAAGAAATATGTCCTGCCATCTCCTGACACTTAGAGCTAACCATTTGTAATTCCTGCAGGCTTAGTTTCCAACAAAAATACAAGACAGAAGACCTCCCCAATGAAAGGCTCAGCATTAACAACTAGAAAAAAAACAATTCTGCACTGTGCTACATGTAACACCTGGAGAACTGAGTGGAGACTAGAAAAAATGACACTAAATAGAATTATTTCATTGAGAATATTAATCTTTCACATTCACAATTTATATATCATGAATCCAGCATCAAGATAACATGATTTATCCAAGATTAATGTAATTAAAATTCATAAAAATCATTAACAGAACCTACTTCTAACATCAGAAAATTTACACCTACCAAATCCTGATACCATTCGTGGCAAAAAAGAGAGAGAGAGAGAGAGAGAAATAAAGAAAGAAAAAAAGGTTCTTCAAATTCCTTGCATAAGAATCAAGGATATGTTCACTTTTGTAATAAACCTAATTTAAGATCTCAGATAAACACTGCTCATGAAGGTAGTAAATGCAATTAGTTCTGATTCTGATAAGGCAAAGAGTATTTTGTCCAGCTATATAGGGCCTATATTTAACAAATCTAGTGACTCATAATAATATATAAGAATTCAAGAATGAATGAATACAGAAACTTTACATTCTTAACTACTTCAGCTCCTTGAGACATAATCCTCTGATAAGTAAACACACATGATTTATACAAAAATGAAAGGACACATATACAGCACCATTCTCTATATTTGTTTCAGGTATTATGCATGGGCAGTTACGTCTGCTTGAACTTACAACATCAGTCATGTCCTGCTATTTACATTTACTCAGTGGAACCAATTCAAATTTGTATATTCTCTTTGCATTTTCAGTCATTTATGGGAGTCAGTCAGTAAACAGGTCATACCTGGAAGTAAAACATCTTTTTTTAACAGATATATTTGGTTTTCTGTATCACTAGGTAGCAGCACAGTCCAGATTCATAGTCTAGGTAGCACACACACATGTGCATGTTCAGAGACTGGTTTCAATAGTCAAAATGGTGAGTGTGCTCGAGGTGTACAATACTGAAGAGCAGCATTCTGTGGTGCATTTTCTGTGGGAAAAATGACTCAATGCAAAGGACATTCATGAAGAAATGCTTCCTATTTACGGTGGGAAGTGTCTGTCATGTAAAACAGTTCACAACTGGGTGGCAAATGTTTTGCTGATGATGAAGTGGTTGAAACAAAGGTGCAGAAGTGGCTGAGATGACAGTCAAAAGACTTCTGTGCTGCACGTTTTGACGCACTGATAAAGTGATGGGACGAGTGGATCAATGTTGATGGAGGACATGTCAAGAAATAAATGTTTTTTCCAGGTTTGACTATCATACATTTTACGTTTTATATCCATTTGTGATCTATTTACTGACTCTAGCTTGCATATCAGCCTTCTGGTAGCAGCCATGGTGATACAAATGAAATGCTAGCGACCACTGGAGGTTTGGTAAAATTCTCACTAATTTAGAAATGTATGATACAATGGCTACAATATATTAATTTTTCCTGAGACATTCTACATTCCTGCCAATTATAAAAACATGAATATTACATGAAGCCTATAAAATACCGGTATAACAAGGCACAAACCACAAAATCCTAAAAAGCAAGTTTAAATAACATGCAACATTCATGAGAAGCATATATAAAAATACCGTATTTACCTACACAGTTTTCTCTATCCAATTTTGCAAGAGAATTTATATTTTACCTCCTTTCACAATTACCAAAACAATCACCCCCCCTCAAATACAACACTAAAGAAATTACACTACTGCATTTCCTTCTACATATTGCTTTCCATTACATCCTAAGGATCTATTCTTTTTTCCAGCATGCTGTAATACCAATCGCTGCTTCACACCAAAGAATTTCCATTTCATGACAAAATCATGCAATTAAAAAAAATGACCTGACCTCTAACAACTGAATATTCAATCATTTTAACAGTATGTATGCTATCCATACAATCAAGTGTGATGCAAAAGACAACTGACATTTTGAAGTAATACTGGTTGTTTTACATATGTATTATATACATACACACATATGTAAGTCCTCAAAAGGTCAGACTACAGGGAAAATTACTCCTTAATCTTGCACTCTAAAAAGTCACAGACACATTATCTTGTACTTCTAATTCACAGCAGAAGAACTTTCAAAAAGTTCTAAAATCACGCAAGTATATACATTATATCAATGGGTTTCAGTACCACTGAAATAGCTGAAGTGGCACTCAGAAGGCGAAAAGTGAGGTTCAGGTCTCCACAGCTTACAGCTGATGAGGTCCATTTCTTTCTTGTATAGTTATGTGCCACCTGAAGGGCCAGAATCCAGCCTGCAGCCCATACGAACATGTCAGTAAAGAATCCACACAGAGTACCTAAGCCTTCACCTCTGTACTACTGCATGCGACATGAAGACCCCATCCCAATGTGCAGTTCTCTACAGGTTCAGCGAACGAGGTTTGAGAGTGGTGGTCATATTGAGAAGTTTGTGTGCTTGTTCTGTAAGTTCCAACTGATCCTGGGTCTTCCCACAAGCTACCATCTCCCATCTCACGTCGAGCTGAAAGAAAACACTACTTGTCAAGAAAGTGCCAGAATGCAACAAAGGTGAAAAATCTTTGAAACCCCAGCTATTGACATACCTGTGACTTTAGAGGGCGTTTACCAAGGATAAATACAAAAAGATCATTAGAAGAAAAATAGTTTGATACTGATGGAGTTTGGCTGCTCATGAAAAACTACTCTAATTCCTTGCAATCTGGCCCCAAGCTGTAAAACTGTGATACATGTTGACCTTACATCTGGTTGAAGGTTGCATACATAGACAATCAAGACTAGATAAAATTTAATTTCTTAGAAATGATGTACTGGACATAAAAAGTGTGAATATTAAATGTTTCCCTCAGTCACATCTAAATTCTTTCCTTGTTATGCATTATTTGTAAAAAGCATATAAATTGAACATAATGTACAAAGGGAAGGACATACAGGTTTCAATGTTCATCTCTGAAACTACTGAATCAATTCTGATCATACCTTGTACTTGCAAGGTCTATACTTAAGCTATTTGACGAATTTAATCTTGATTCATATCCGTCCAATATAACACCTATTTTACATGAAGTCCAGATCAAACTGCAATGATTTTTGTAAAAAAAAAATTTTCACAACAAATACCCAAACACAAAAATATACACAATTTCTATTTCAAACATGTTTCAGCATGGTAAATATTTAAAAAAAAAACAAAGAAAAATTATGACTAGGCAATGTAAGATGTAGTGTAATAAACCTTGTCACAATGTATTTGTATCTACAAGTAACCATTTCTACAACAGGATGGCTGTTCAGCTAATTTCAGCCATTCACAGGAAAAACATTAACCAAATTCACTGTGCAACATGAAGCCAAATATCTGCAGCTGCCTAACAGTGGCATGACTACATGCTAACATGCAACTATACAGAATGCTTCCTTTCTCTCTGAAAATAAAGCAGCAAGTCCTATCTACTATCCTTACAGCAAACCTCTACAAATAAAATCCACCAAAATAACATTCATGCTACAAATGTTGAAGTGTGGAAAAAATTTCATCATCAGTACTGGTATAATACAAGAAGTTCATCAGAAATACTTCTTATTCAAGAAAACAAGAGGCTGCTTTTCAAACAGGGTCAACTACATGACACTACACAGTATCCTGAAGTTTGGAGAAAAGGTGTATGTTCAACATACAAAAACACATTCTTTCACACGTGTGTGAAAATACCATTCCTCTACAATGTAAAAAGGTCCAAACAAACATCTCTGAATGACAAAAAATACTTAATCCATGAAATGAAAACAAACGACAATGCTTTCATGGCAGTTTGTAAACAATATTGTTTCTTATCTTAAGTGATGACTGTAGTTGGCTGGTTAATATTTAAATTAAATTGGCTGTCTGCATTTTCAAGAGAAATAACACAAACAGTGGCCTCATGCCAACACTTAATAGTTCTAGACAATGACATGGTGTGAGAATTCCATGATATGACTGGGTGAGGTTACAGAGGTCAATCTACACCACAACTTCAGAATGAACAATATTAGCAGCTTAGTCCAGGTAGGAAATGATGCTACAGACTGTTGCTATGAATGGGACACCATAAAAAGGCCTCATCAGTCTTATCTGTGAGTCTGTCCCATTAAGACAATTTAGAAAAGTGGCCTTGAAAAGGAACCTACACTCCCAGCCTCGCATCCACCAACTAAATGTCCACTGTCTTGTGGTTTAAAAGCATGAATATGGCAATATGCCACTGTTAGTCAAATTGCCTTGACAATGCAGGCACACCAGCCACAAATTAAAACTGAAAAGCACTTTAATATATTTTTCTGGCACACTGTGCATTTAATTCCACATTCAGCTGGAATGCCAATTCAAAAATGAAACAGTAAAACAAGCAAAAAGTAACTTAATACAGAATGATTATTTTGTTTTTCAACATTAAAGTCCACGTAATTCAAATACTGTTCTAGATGTATCTGTAACATTCAGGAAACAACTATACACCCTGCAAATGGTTTCACGCAGAGGCCACAGTGAGAGTTACATTCAATTCTACCAAACTTCAGGACAAATAAAACGTTCTTCTCATTCTATAACTTCAACACAAAACATTTTTTCAGTTACTGATTTCAAGCTTTCATGGTGGTTCATTATTGATGTTATTTCTGTTCTTGAGCTGTTACACCATTTGATTGTGAGAACAAATGCCAATGGGATTTCTGCACAACTTTCCTGGGCTACTGGCATTACTGGCCTGGATGAGACACCAATTCCACTCTATCACACAAACACCCACTAATAACAGGAATAATACTGATCCAAACAACAGCAACATGTATAATCAGAGGGGTAATACACTAAAGATTTGGATTCTAACACATCCTTTTCAGTCATCATCAGAGGTACATTTGTATTATTTATCTAAGGACTGGAATTAAATGAAATATTCTATAAACCAGTTGCTTTTTGAAACAGAGTGCTACATACAAACAGAAAATCACCTATCAACACATTTCGACCCTGAAGATGGAGGCAGCACACCTTTGATATGTCAGAGACGTCGTCCACAACCACACAGTGTACGAACCCAAGAACATAAATTTTTTCATTATATTGCAATCTCATGAAAGAACAAAGCAATATACTGCATATCAGCAGATTGTGAGACTGAAATTTCATTTCCCCCTACAATCCTCACCAACATCTTTAGGGACTTCTGAATTAAATGCAGCAGTCATAGATGTTACATAAATGAGGCCATTCCCATGCCTACCTTATATAGTTCTGAGCACAGAATAAAGACAGCCAGTAATGAATAAACACAATAGGAAAAATAGGTCATGAATAGTTTGCAGATACTGAGTTTTTCAACAATTGTAAAATGAACAAAACTAAACAGTGTTACTGTTGTGAACAAGAAGGCCTATGCTATGTGTACAGAATGCACCAATCCTACAATTCACCCACTAAACTTAGTTCACTTCAAGTACATCAACAAATTACTTTCATCAATATCACCAAAATTCATAAAAACATTTTGTAATAATTCTGTTGTGTCCCTTGCTCATGGCCTATCACGTCTGTGCGCTAGATGAGATGCCCAAAGACATGTTTAGTCAAATTTCTTGCATGTCCTTTATTGAGATATCCTTCTGCTTTAGCACTGCCACGATGCATAGGGAACTGGAGGCTAGAATCCACACATTCTTTAATCTTAGCACCAAATGAAGATGAGTTGATCAGGTTATCACTATAGGTGCTTCATCCTGAGGAGTCATTGGTACTCTATGGATTGGACGTTGAATGGTTCCAGGCCTGGTCTGGATGTGATGGCAAAGGGGAAAAACAACGCCCATACCAGGAATCAAACCCATCATCCAGCTCACCATCACTTCACAGAATCAGCTGTCCTAGCTCAGAGTGTAAAATATGGATGACATACAATATTGATTTTATGAAATTCTATAACCCATGCCTAAAACTTTCCATGATTAGTAAAAGACTGTTCCAAGTAAATTGACATGATCAAAACAGAATCATTAAATGTACATATTTTAGACTAAATCTGACATTTTGAAGTTTGAAAATGAATAGCTTAAGATCATACATCCTAACCTGCATTTTGGGGGAACTCCCACTTATCTTCAGGGTAGCACAGTAAGCTGGAAGGGAGGGAGTGATACAGGGAACTGAGACCAAGAACTGGGGCTAAGAGTGAAGGTGAAGGAGCACCATCCATTATGTGCCTCTTTCATCCAGGTAAGTCAACTACTGGTGAACAGGACACTCATTCTTTCCACCACATCCAGATACATGGACCATATCAGCAGACAGGCAACAGAGACTGAGCTCCAGCCTAACGTGAATAAGAAAGATACCCTCTGCTTGAGAAAGTTGTGGAAGCATCTAATCTACTCCCTGGAAATCATAGGATATCTACTTCTAAGGACACTGTGATTTGGGGTCTCTTTACCATGGCTTTTACCAGGGCCCATTACGAACTGTCCCCTTCAGGACCTTGGACAATAGACCATTTCAGGGCTTTCATCCTTTTTACTTCTGTCCCACCTACTGTTTCTTTCCACTTTCCTTCACTGAAACCTGCCATTTTAGTCTGACTTCTACATAACTTTATTTTCTTCTGTTTAATTTTATATCGTGTTCTCAGCTCCTGCCTCTTATTTTTAAAAGTATTTTTATTCTTTCTCATTATTTTTACTTCATTACATTAATTTCAGTTTAAGCTATATTACATATTGTCTCTTTATTTTATTCATCTTTACATTTTCTCTTAACCCCCTTTCCTGTCTGAACCTTTCAGTGCAACATACACGTATTCCTGATCACTTCACCAGTTCACTCCTACTCAACTCCTGTATCACAGACCATTCTTTTTGTGTGCAGCTTAATTTATCTTGAAGATAGAAGCAGAAGGTTCCTCCAAACTGTTGGCAAATATCCACTATACAGTATATCCCACAAAACAGTAATCTTTTTAACTTCAATAATAATCAGCAACTAGAAGACTGAATCTAATAATCAGGCCAATTAACAAACCAATTATAATGGTATTACTAAAAACCACACTTCAGTATAATATATAATAGAATTATAAAACCAAAACAATAAAAGAATAATGAAATAGGAGAAAACTACGAAGGACTCACCTTGGGCAGTTTCCGTTCATGTGTTACGTCTCCAAAGTGGATCCGCTTGACAGCAGAATGCCTCAGGTGAATACCAGGGTTCTGGACAGGGACAATACCAACAACTACATACAACCACCAACATATAAACATGATAAACCACACCACCACCACACCGTGACTGCATAACTACAAGTTTAGATTTCATGTCCTCTATACTATACCAGTCGTTCTGGAACTATTTTATCATCAGAAACCCTCTGTTCTAAAAACAATGACAACATATATAAAGATACAAAAGGCCAGTATGCACAAAAAAGTAACAAGCTTTTTAAGATTTTAAATCTTCGTCTGCAACACACCTTGAAGAAACGTTTTTCAATTTCTTACCAAAAATTTACTCTACATCTATTCTTAGGTTATTAATGGCACTGTTTCAACTACAAAGAAATGGAAGATGAGCTAATAATGCAGTAGCACAGTACTACAACTGCTGAGGCAGTGGGGGTGAAGGATTATAACACCTCAGAATCAAGGCACTTGAAATCTTCAGAAAAAAGTGTTGCAGGCAGATGAGTAAGTGATCCACTATGTCACTTAGGATTAATCACAGTGCTAAACATTAGTTGCTGTAAATGGAGAGAAGAATGGATGAGAGTTGATCAGCATGTTAGTCATAATCCAGTTATTTAGAAAATGTCTGAATTATGGGATCACGTCTCCTACTGCTTATCTACGTACATACACATATAATAATGTAAAAAGATCAACAGCAGTGCAATGAATTACTGAACATCCTACAGTTCCATGAGAATGGGTCATTAGTTACTACCACACAGTCATAACCTCACTTATAAATCCAAAGAGGAAGCGAAGTTATATTAATTTGAAATGTAACTCCTCTTACCCAATACTATCATTTGAAGAAGGCTGGACTGTGCGAATGGTGACTGCAGCACTACTGCAGGAGGTGGGTTTGACTAAGGGATGAGTAGGAGCTACGCTGCTTATGGAAAGGGTCAAAATCATCCTCCATTCAATTAATGTCACCTTCAGGTATGTGTGATTGTAGGACTAACCACCCTCACAGGTGGCGGGTCTGTGACCAGCTTAACTTAGCTGACCAAAGTATGACAACTGGTGACGGTGGCCAATTTGGGTGTACCCAAAGCACAGGACTACTAAAACCACTTACTCACGGAGCTGCCAATTCTGCAGCTACTCAAGAATTTCCCAGCATTTTATGGAACCTGAAGGTTCATTACTGTGTTCACAAAAGCCGCCACTGGTCCCTATCCTGAGCCAGATCAATCCAATTCATACCATCCCATCCTATCTCTCTAAGATCCATTTTAATATTGTTCACCCACCTACGCCTTGGTCTTCCCAGTGGTCTACTAAACCACTTACATCAAATTCTTGCTTCACAGTTTAGTGACAGAAGATTGTGTGTAGCCAACATTTTGTACACTTGTAATTTTAACAATTTTGTCACAGTGTGGACTTCCTGACATTCTACATTAGAGAGTCATGAGACATAATGACTTTCTGGCTTGATTGTAATTCAGCACCATCATTATCAAGATCTTCTGCAGTTAGTATATTTCTTGTTCATCTCTACTTTATAAATTATCATTTCTTTCACTATCAAGTAAAAGGAAAACTGATGATATCACGCATTCTACAAGGTCAGCATGGTGGCAGAATTCACCTTACCATCAATAATTATTGATGGTAAGGTGAATTCTGAAAAATTATAATTTTTCACCTGGTCCAACTGCTCTTATCAGACATCCAAGAAATGAGAAGGGCAACAAGAGGCAATGACTGTGCAGCAAAAATATATTTTATAATTCACAAAATTTCAAGAGGCCTGTCTACTCTTAAACTAGATTCCCTGAATATCAGAAATATGTGTGTAAATTAAGTGAAAATGAATTAACATTTTCAAAGAATGAAAAACCTTCATGCTTAAATTTGTGTGCATGATGAAAGTGATTTTTTGTCAATTCCTACAATATAAACTCATCTGAACCAATTTTTAGCCTACGTGCCTGATGTAGGCTTATGCAATCTCCACGCTGGCTGTGTGCCCATGTATTTCTCCCTATCAAATTTCAATGCCAGAACAAATCTTTATGGCATTTTGTATTTTTTATCATGCAACTGAGCCCTTCTCAACGGCATACTTCATAAATCCTTCCCATCAGTCTGTGTGTCTGTATGTGTCTCCCTCCTGCTGTTGTTAGGCAATGGCTTGGTCAAATATATTCCTCCTTTCAGTGCTAGGCAATGGCTTGGTAAAAATGTTCCCACGGCAACGAATATATGCAACAAGAGCATTGCTGGACACATTACTTTCAACACTGTCTGTGACTTATCAAAAAAAGAGTCTGTGGGTCTGTGTATATCCCCTCATGGTTGCTAGGTAACAGCTGGGTAAAGACGTTCCCATGGAAACAAAGAACTGTTGGAGACATTTTCTATGTGGTCCATGTTGTATCAAAGGAAAGTAGGTGCTTATTTCTTCCCAGAACTTCTTGTTACTTTCTGATGTCTGCAGCATATATGGGACAGTACTGTGTGAAAAAACTAATATGAAGATTTTTATGATTAACGACCCCATATGATATTTTTTGGGAATGTGTGTGTGTGTGTGTGTGAGTGAGTGAGTGAGTGAGTGTGCATGAACGCAATCCTCACAACTGCCTGAACAGTAGGGCGGATTTTATTCATTCTCAATATTTTAAGAATTTATCCATCATATGTCTGTGCCCAGTGAATATTAGGTCCAAAAACAGGGCCCCTTCAGTTATGCTGCAGAACATAAAAATGGCAATTTTGTCAAAAAACTGCTCATACAATTCTGATTATGTAAGATTTGAGGCTTTCACGGCAGTGACTATGAAGAAAGCAGTCTTCTGGGCTTTGGCGCCGTGTATATGTGGTGTTAACCGACGTTTCGGAGGAACGTATCGCCCCCATCTTCAGGGTTGAAGAAAAAGTATAGGTAAATCTGCAAGCGACAACACCGTGAGACACGGTAAAGCAGACCGTCTGCTTTACCGTGTCTCACGGTGTTGTCGCTTGCAGATTTACCTATACTTTTTCTTCAACCCTGAAGATGGGGGCGATACGTTCCTCCGAAACGTCGGTTAACACCACATATACACGGCGCCAAAGCCCAGAAGACTGCTTTCTTCAATTCTGATTATGTTTCAGGAATTTATGGAGAACATCTCCCTAAATAAAATTATATACATGATATCTTCACAAAAATAACAGTACGCACACTGAGTATATAACTGTAAAACAGTGATGTTAAAACCAACAAACTGTTCTTATGGGTTTCTCTGCCCATTGGCATTCAGTAACCAAGAACAGTTTATTCAGCAAATCAATTTTCTAGAATTCAAAGGAATTTTCTGCATACAGCAGACTAAGGGTAACAACATATCAATTTTCTTTGGAATTTCTTAACAACATACACATGCTTTAATCCAAAACTAAATATTACATGCAAAAGTACTAGCCAACGAACATGCACGCACATGCTATCTGGGTTAAACAAAGTTCTGTGTTTAGAAAACAGAAGATGTCTGAGATCTGAGGTACACAAAGCAGTAAAAATTATGGATCTTATGTAGTTACTATAGGATTCTGACGATGGTGTATAACACACAGAGATATTGGGTTTTTGGACTTTATCCATCGTCCTGGTTTTTTAAGATAACTAAGAAAAACACAACATTTTGGAAACTGGATCTGTTTCCGTCCTCAGGTGAGGGAAAAACACCTATTCTGTTGGGTCCCTTAGAAAGAGCTAGCCTCAATCACAGGATTGTGAGGACGGAAACAGATCCAGTTTCTGAAACATTGTGTTTTTCTTAGTTATCTTAAAAAAACCAGGACGATGGATAAAGCCCGAAAACCCAGTATCTCTATGGATCTTATGGGTTATGACACTGTAATTAAGCAGTAGATGAACAAAACCCAGAAGATATGTTGGTATGGTATATGGATCTTTCATTGCTTTGGTTCATTGATTCTCAGTGGATTTGCTCCTGGTTTATTTAGCCCTCTGATTGTCTGCCACAAATTGTTATTTCCCAATGATCACCAAAGAAGTGAAAATCTGACTTCTTCATATTACATGCAACATGTTTTATTCTCACAAGACCAACGCAAGCAACAGGAATGCATAATATTTCTTCCTCTTTCATGAAAACAAATGATAGCTTGACCACATGGTTAAAGTAATTCCATGTTTGCAACACACTGCACCTCCAACAAATAATTCACACAAACAACAAGATGGTAATGGTGAACGATAGATTTCTTCACAAAAACAATGAAAGTGTTAATGATACTATATCACGTGTTTACATTATATAGTGTCAAATGAGTAACACCACAATGATTATGAACAGTAATTTGGAACAGAGGTGGACCAATGCAGTAATGACCTACTATAACCTAGGTTTGCCTAGATAGAGAGAGAAGCACTATTAAAACTTCAGTAATCTCAGCTGCTCTCCCAGAATTACTACCACAGCCTTCAAGGCTTCATTTACAACAAAAATTCCAACCTACAAGTCTTGAAAAATGTATGATGCCTATTTTTCTCAAAAGCTTCAGCCTACATGATGAAGCAGCAAGAATTATACATTCATGTATCCATGATCTACTTCTAAATATAATTAACCGGCAGTTCAGATTCCAGCCATGTTACATAATCCTCATTGTAGCAGTGTTTTACATCACTGCCAATTTGCAACTTAACATAAAAAGGAAGGTTCCAAAGGGAGTCTGCAGATACATTTAAGCTCTATCTCCACACAGAACTTCACATGTATATCCAACATTCTGTTAGGTATCACCATCAAACCAAAAACTACACAGACAGTTTGTGCATTTGATGTGTTAATAACACCCTACAATAATAAATAAATAAATTAAAAAGCTAAAAAAAGGTAAAGCTATTGCTAAACAGGGCCACAGAGGCCCATAGAGCTGTGAGATGTTGAGGCTCCCACATTTTCTAGACAACTGGCTCACAGATGGCAGTGAGGTTGTCAGCCTTATGTGCCAGCCGCGCTTTACCCCAGGTAGACTCCTGGTACTCATTTCTGTCAGAGGCTGAGTCAACCCCAAGGCCACATTGCAGCTGGAAGGATTAAGTCAATTGAAAAATTCAATGACCTCAATAAAGTGGCTATATTTCAGTGACCCATTAGCACACAAAATTTTGGGATCCTATATAAAGTGGTGGGTGAGGTGTTGCTACTTCAGAAGTTCAGAAGTTCAGAAGTTTGTAATCTGTATGCTCAGTAGTTCAGTGCATTCACTAAGAAGTGATGCTCACCTTCGCGACTGAAGAGGACTGCTGCTGAAGCACAGGTGCCACTGCGGAGGTGAGGACTACTTCCTCTGATAGGACGTCTCGCACAATGGAGGGTGGTGAAAAGAGAACTGATGTATCCCCGCCAAGTGACTTGCTCTACAACAAATGAAACTGTAACTACAGAGTCTTCCTAAAACCAAATGATCTTGTCAGTAAATCTACACTTTTTACAGAACTGAGGTTTATAATCATGAGACTTGGAGTTTTCATGAAAGCCCATACTCACATAATCTTGGTGCAATTCTGGACACGAACATTTAGCAGTTTATTAACAAATGACATAATCTAGTTATGTTTATGATCAATATTTTATATACTGTTTTTGCAGTGAACAAGCTAGTTTCACTCAGCCAACAGAGCAAAGAGCTACAAGCTGGATAACCAGGTTTTCGTTTCTGGCAAAAACTTTTCCTGTCACCACAACCCTGGACTGTATTCAGTCTCCTATTCAACCAGTGGTCTAGAAAGGTGTTCTTTCACCTTAGCTAAGCAGGTTGAGATACAAAGCACACCACACACTACCATCTCATGGTGAGATCTAAAATGCATACAGCTTTACCACCATGCTACCAACATAACTTCTTGGCACAGGACTTAAACAGACTCATCTTTTGTAATAGCGATCTTTCAGTTCCTCTATGGAGGAAATGACATACAAAGTTCTGTAGGAAGTATCCTGATAGTACAGCAATGATTCAAAATATTGCAACAAAATTACATTCCATGGGATCAGTGCTGGAAAAAATTAAATCTCTAAAATGACATACTGACTTAAGAAGAAAAATGTGATGATATCAGTACTTGATTTGAAGCAAGCCCAAGTAAGTACATCTTTTAGCTCATCAGTGTGTGCAGGCAAAATTACATTTCACCTTGCTAAAAAGCAGCTAGAGCTACAAATTTAACAAATGATAAACTGTGGCCTTAATAAGATTACAGTTGTATAACCTTTTGCCTCCAAATTGTGAAACAAAAATTTTACACTGCAAATGGTTTAGTAACTGGCATTTAATGCACTTCTTGACTGAAACACATTTTATTTTGAAGAGATATGATTCACTTTAGGTGACTATGTAAACAGCCAACATAACAGACACTGGAGCACAGAAATCCTCATGCTGTTCATGAAATGTCACTGTACGATTTAAAAGTGGGGTTTGGTATGCAATTAGTGCAAGGAAGGTAACTGAGCTCCTGAGTTTTCATAAAACAATAAATTTCAATCAACTTTCTTTGATCAAATGACAAATGAAGAAAAATCATAAGACATTTTATGCCAAGTAATTCAATAGCACGTACTGCAAAAAATCTATGGATATATTAGATGGTTTTTCTGGCCTCCATGATCTCGTAATTCAAGTCTTTGTGACTTTTATTTGTGAGGCATGCTGAAAGAAAGAGTGTATTCAAGCAATCCCCATTCTTTGGAAGAACTTCAAGACAACATTATGCATGAAACTTTTGATATTCCCATACAGCAGCATCAGGGTGTGTATAAAAACACATTCTTGTAATGCAGGCATGCTTAGAAGAAGAGGGTTGGCACTTCAAGGCTGCTGTTAAACTACAGTGGAAAAGCAAGCCATGAATTATATTACTGTGTAAGAAGACAGCAATGTCAGCTATGGGAACCACTACGATAAACTGTGCACCCCAAATTCTGTAAAAGCAATCCCTACCGGTGTCTCCACTATGGAGGAAATGTCAGTGACTCCAGGTACATAAATATTTCCAGGGGTACTCCAAGAAGGTGCCAAAGCCTTTCTTATCCTCTTGTTGGGCTGAGTATTCTCTTTTCCAATGGGAAGCAACACCTTGCGCCTTGCTGTTATATAACCACTGTCCTGATGAACCTCCTGAAACAAGTATATAGGTATGATCTGAATACAGCACATCTAGTTCATGCTGAGACTCAGGATCATATATCCTCCAAAGGACATGGGTATAGCAATAATGAGTCAGGCCCACATTCAGGTGGTCCATGTTTCAAATACTGGCTAGGGCAGCCCATCCCAACTGAGGCATTTGCTGCTATTATCAGCTGGTGCAAATCATGTGACTAAAACTGTATGCTGCAAATTTTCAAACGGACCAAATGTCCTGTATCAGTTAGGATACTTACCTTAAAATAAACCAGAGCTCCAGATTCATGATTCACAATCTTCCCAATGAAATTACACTCTTACCCAAACATTAAAATCTATAAACAGCTAGGTGTACAAACGTCCATAAACTCTGGTTGACTATCAACTTCTGCTAATATTCTAAAGGGCATAACTGCCCTTGAACGACAGCTATTAAACTCCAACAAAAACATAAAATTCAAAACTTCAGAGTTGCAACTTCTAGCATCCCTCAGTTCATGAAATGTAAATTATTCAATGGTCACTCCTGGCATGATCACCAATCAGTTTCACGTCTGTAGAAGTCATCAGAAACTAAATCCAATCACCAATATCCAGAGTATATATCTGAAACTGCACAGAGTGCCATTTAAACCACTGTTAAAATATGATACTTTGTGACAGAGACAAAAGAAAGAAGTGGCAGAAATGAGAACCTTCAATGCATGGGAGACTAAGGGTTTAAAACAGAGTTGAAGAAATTACTACTTATTGAAAAATATGGAAAGACCATGTAGACAGCATGAGTGAAGGTAGGTGCGACAAGACCAGCATGGAATTATACAGAGACAAGGTGAGGAGTAAGGGGCAGATCTAGGAACTGCTTAAAAAATCATTTGTAGTCAGTAAAGGCATTAATCTGCCTATTCTGTAGACTGCAAAGAAAATAATACATAATATCAGCATGATTTGCCCATCTTTAAACTACAAGTTACACAGTACCTCAATGGCTAGAGAGGTTAAACTTCTCTGACACAGTGCTTGGCCTTCCTTTGTGGCCAAAAGATTGAACCATTATTAAAACACAAGAGTTCATTACTCACCTGCTGGTTTGAGTAAAGCAAACTGCTGTCTGTTTCATACTGAGAATCAGACATATCTTGTTCTTTCTTTATAATCTCCGTAAGGTCTTCAACTAGGCCAGTTGGGCTTTGTGGCTGGAAAGAAAAGGAAGAAACATCTTACTGTAGGCTTTCAGAGTCTTGAGGCAATTCCATTCTTGGGTTGTTACATAGCATGGTTGTGAGTACTGTGGCCAGTGTTTTGGACATACATGCTGACTCCACATTCAAGGTCAGAGGGGGGCACACACACCTGTGTGTGTGTGTGTGTGTGTGTGTGGGAGGGGGGTGCACTGCATTGAGTTATTTTGAAAAAGAATGATGAAAGTGGAGACAAAATGGGAATTGACACCATGTCTAGGAGAGCAGGAATGGCACAGCAATTCACTAAACCCACATTCAGCCCTGAAGATGGAGGTATCAGGCACCTCTGAAATATCAGTGACATCACACATGACCACATGCTTTAGCAACCAAAGAACAGAATTCACAACAATAATAAACAAATAATCTCCAACATAACATAAGGGCACAGCAGTCAATGCTTGCCACCTACTTTCATGCTCGTTTCTTGCTTGGCTTATTCTTCATCCCTAATGATGGAAGTAACATGTTCCTCCAAAATGACCACCAACTTAAAACAGACTACATGATGTCATATCCCAGAAAATATAACTCCTCATAACCACCTGTGTTAGAATGTCAAATCCTGCATAATTTGTGGTTTATGTAATGACTGTGCCAGTGGCTCAGACTACTGCATTGATTGACAAACAAAAAACAAACTCCATGCGTTGAGTCCACAAGTGAACTATACCAACCGAGCGACCGCCGCTTATCAGTGAAGTTAGTGCCAACTTTAGCGGATAGAGGATGTTGAGTGGTCAGTGCAATGGATCCCCACAGCCATTAATCTCAGTTTTATAGACCAGAGCAGCTATTTCCTTGAAAGAGCTCCTCAATTATCCTCACGAGGCTGAGAGGGTCCCAATCCAAACACCTACTACTTCTCAGAAAATCTGGTAGCACCAGGAATCAAAACTTGGACCTCTGGATCTGTAGTAAGGAACTCTGACCACTAGACCACAGAGGAGGTCCTGCACTGAATGACAGGAATATTAATAAATAATGCATTGGCAAGGATGCAGAAGGAAATAGTCAGGGCCTAATGTGAAGTCTCAACTTCACATTTGCCTGGAGGGACTAAGGAAAACCACAAAATCCTGTCAGGCTAACAAGTGCCCCAGCTGAGGTCTGAATTTGGCACCTCCCATATGCCAGTAAGCTGGGGAGGTCATGATTTATTATTAAGTACTATTTACGCATTCTCCTAGATATGACGAAGGAACCCACAAAAAAAATCAACTATACACTCAAACCACGTACCTCCAAATACAAGTTTGACAACTAACCACTTCATCAGTCATAAACAACCACAGCAGTTGAGTACACTTTAACCTATTAATCAACCATTCAACCAACCACTTCAATCAATCTGCTTGGACTGAGTTTCAGGACCTCAAAAACTGAGAATCATATTGTCATGCAGACCAACTACCACTTCATTAACACCTTGCCACACATTTAATACTTGCTGATGAAAGCGGAATGAATCTTTCTACAAGCATGTGTTATTATAGTTACAAAAAAATGCTCAGTTCTCAATGTGTTACCACAAATTAAAACACAAGCATTCAGAGAACTTCATTCTGTACTGAATATTTATTCATCAAAAGCACTCTCTAAAGCCTGAATATGTAGTAATCGCATATATCTTCCTGGTGATTTTGAAAGAGGGACTCCAAAGAATTGCTGACATACTCCACTCTTTATTAATTATGAGCCTATGATTGTAGGGAGACACCTGAAGCAAAAAGTATACAGAAATAACACATTTTAGAGGCATTGCAAATCAAGCAACTTATTACGTTAATGTGAGATGTGATGCTTAAGATCACTAACTCACTCATTCATGTTTATATCTTAGCCATCAGTCCATGAATGAAAATGTATATATTCTAATAACTGATCAGAATTTAGACTTCAACAATCCATTAGACAAAGTTTATATGCTAAATTCATTTGACCAATTTTATCCTAACAATCCATTAACAAAACAAAATCCACATCCTAATCGTTATTGAACCAGAATTTCATATTAACAATCAGTCAGTGGACCGAACACAGGCAAGTTATTCATGCAACCAATGAAGACATCTGATGCCATCCTGTTTCCTTCCTACAACAGGATTTCTAGAGTTCACTGCTAGAATCAGAGTGCTAGCAGCTTCTCCTGTCCGAGCCCCCAAAATTCAACATCATGAAAATTCTATTCACTCAAGAATCCTAAAATCGGCAAATTCCTCCTGTCATGCAAAAGCGAGTCTTGGCTCTGTGTCGCCGGATGCCTAAGGAATATGCTACGTCTAAAGGTGATCTCAACTCTGGTTTCTGGCTGGCCAACCTGTGGTTCACATAACATATTTCAATTTACATGACTTATAATCATATCCACTGATAACCTATGGCACAACACCATGCCCAACCCCCAAGCCGGAGGACCAACCCTTGTTGGCTGTCCACGACTGCTTATTCAATATATTCCCAGCTACCCTTCACACCTGGGAGGTGGTGTCTCCTCCAACCACAACCTGAGGAAGTGCCATGCCTACTTGACAAGGGACCCACATAACATGGGCTTAACATAGTCATCAAATATTCTGAACAAAAACATATTCTCACTTAGTACACAGCAGACTCTGGAATTCTGGTAACAATAATGTCAAACAGCCATGAATGGTTCACTACAATGCAATATTTCTGAGATAGGGCCTTTGCTTAGAGACTTGTATGGCCCCAGTCTGCAGAAGCAAATACGGACATGTTCAAATTAAAAGAACAAAGCTTCACTCTACCATGTACTTCACAATGCCTCCATTCTTTTCCAGCTCTGCCAAGGCATTCTTGAAAGGTGTTGGTGTTCTTGGTGTAGGATCAGCAAGACACCGTCTCACTTTGCTCGGGGTGAAATGGTCACGATCACTATTCCTGCTTATCTGGTTTTGCTTCACTGGCTGCATTGGAAAAGAATTTGGCGTGATCAGAAGGTCCGGGCTGTTCTCCTTCTCTTGCTCTACATTTTGCTGGAAAGGTGTAGACTGTGCAGTGACAGTACATCGTCGAAGGGGTGTTGCTGATAAATCCACATTGAAGGATAGGTTCGGACTGTTTAAAAACTGTGAACAGAATACAGCACAACGCCCATTTAATGTTCCTCAATTTAACACTTTCACTCATTTAACATTCAATTTCAATGACCCCTTGTCAGTAATCTCAGTGTTTTTCCCCGATTAAGAATTTCCTCAGTTTAGCCAAATAGTGCGCTCCCCAAAGAACCTTAAATGAGGGTTTCACTGTAACAGCAATAGCACATTATGTCAGCAGCACTTTCCTATTGAGCAGATATAAATATATAGGAGTGTAACCTATATGAAACGTCTGAAAACATTTTTAAAAACACACATCATGTCTAAACTTACTTTCCCTTTGGGGTACAATTTCAGGTACTTAACTCCTAGGATCAGCTACACAAATGGCATATGAGTAACCTCTTTCTCAGAGAAAACAGATATTCAAGGACAAAAGCTCAACAGTCACTACTTTTGTAAAGAATCTTAGCTGCTCACTGGGCTGGGCAGCTACTTTCTCAAGACCTAAGATGAGTGCATAACTCACAAAGAATTTACAGCTGCATCTGTAGTAGTCTCACCTGTACAAAAATCAAGAGTTGCCACTTCAGAGTTATTAATATTCTTTATTCAGTCCTCATTTTGCACAATCCACAAGCACCAAACTATCATGTAATGACATAATTTGTAAGTTCAGGTGAAGCATAAAAAATTATAACATGAGAATCAAAATTTTCAGAATATATGTCTGCACGTCCCTGTGAATTGTGATGTGTTATTAACCTTTAAGAGCCAAAAGACACCATATGGGGACCTTTAAATTATAGCCGAGTGGCCATGCGATACCGTATGGGTACGCGCAGTCCAAGCATGTTCACAGTGTTTTAAAATCTAATTTTAAGATAGAAATTCTTGTTCTACTTACATTATTTTCGGGCACGCACTTTATAAGTATACAGTCTTCCCTCCTGCGTCATCTAACTGAATGCAGATTCCGACGTCGCAATTCATGCACTTTGTCCGTATGTAACTCTGTTTTCCACGCAAAGACACACACGCTACACCAGTCTCGTATTAGCAGGAAGTCAGCCAGTGTTGCCGATTTGCCTTCTCTAATCATAACGCTTATAAAACATCGCAATTTCAACTATCCCCCATGGCCCCATTTCGTATGGAAGCAGCCGAAGTTGATAGGCAGCTGATAAATGTCACCGATTTAGAATGCAGCAAATAAGACTGAAAGTATGTAGAAGCAAGGGCCATTCTAAGAAGCTTAACAGTACTTCTTGTGTGGCAGATACGTGTATACACAGATAGAGTTTCTGAGGGACTGACCTCACTCCTGTATACAGGAAGGTTCTGAGTGCTATAAAGGCATAAAAATTTCCTCCCCTTTGGCCAGATAAGGCAGTAAGAGTATGAATGATGTCAGCAGCAGACATTTATACTGCAGAAATGTTTTGTGCAGAAACTGACTGCATATTTGTGGACAGACGCTTAAAATTTGGAAAAAAACATTTTTGGAATCAGTGTAACAATTTTTACATATTCTAAATTCTGTAAATTACAATATCTGATTCTATATTCTTTCTAGATAAAAGCACCATTTATTGCGTTCGTTTATCACAAAAATTGTAGAAATCACAGCATTTTAAGTAACATGATTACAATTTTTATTACTCTACAATGGTAGGCATTTAAATTAACTCTGGCCCGCCGCCATTACGGGAATTTAAATGGCCTGTCACTTAATCGTTAAATACTCACTTGTGATGGGCTGAACTCCAATGGCTTTATAGGTGATGCTTTTACTGGTGTCTTAAGTGAATCTATGTTAGTGACTGAGAGATATGATGAAAAGATCCCTGTATCATCCTGGAGAAACAAATAGGGAAACAGTAAGCCACTAAGAACCTGTCCAAAACATCAACCTTGAATAAAATGTTTCACATTTTACTGGTACACTAAGAAAAGGAATTTTGATATGGACTGCAAAATGCATAAACAAACAGCTTAGCAGGAGTGTGACGAAATTTCTACAGTATGTACAAAAAGCAATAAAATCTGAAACATGACATTATGTAAATAAGATCTGAAATTAGAAACATTACAAAGACTGCTTTCTTCATAGTCACCGATATGAAAACCTCAAATCTTACATTATAAAGACTCTACAGATCTGAGACAACTGTTACTTCAATATACTACAATTATATTGGACACTAGCAACTGTTCGATGTATATTTGACACACAAAGTTATGGAAGTCGGTTCTACTTCCATTTCCAGGTAACTGGTTGTCATAGTGACTTCATTCATAGGTATCTAGTTTAGAGATTAGGATTTAACCCAGAAACTTCTAAACATGAAACATACATGCAAGCCAAAATAGCTGCCAGGATCAAAGTTCAATGCTCAACAGATCCTGTGTTCAGTCCTAACAGTTTATACTGGTCTTGATAATGATGTCATCAGAAACAAAAAAGGCTGTTATTAAAATGATAATCACTCTTCATGACAGAAACAGAAAACTGATAACTCCTGATATCAAGTATTATTCGGGCAATTCACGTCCAACACAACTGTTAGCATATTTCAACATCCCATTGAGCAGTGATGCATAAACTGTGCCTCACCCCCCTCCTCTCTCGTGCATGCACACTAGTCTTAAATTTCCAACATTCATTTTCTGACTCAATGCCCAAGAGACTGAAAAGTGGTCTAGATCAGGGGTCTCCAAACTTTTCGAACCGCGGGCCACATTAGATAATTCAGCACTTTCAATGGGCCGGATAAAATGAGAAATAATAACTCTAGGTATATGAGTTTTATTGAAAGCACAGAATTTCATAAACTAAATACAAAGTACGTGAGAATAAATTATCGTATATTAATGACAACAGACAGTAGCAGCAATGCCCATATTCTCATCACAAATTATAATAAAACAATTAATGTGAATGATGGAACTCTTTATGCATTCTTAAAATCTGATTAAATTGAGGTTCAAATTTTGAAACGCTAATCACAAGTAGTGACTTTAAATGTTCATCGGATAAATTTGCCGTGTATTTCGACTTCATGTACTTCATCTGGGAAAAAGTTTGTTCACACAGATATGTCGTCCGAAAAATGGAGATAAATTTACAAGCAAATTTCTTTAAATTTGGAAACTGCTCAGAGTTCAGAAATTCCTTCCTTGTATTTGGCTTTAAAATGATAATTTTCCTGAAGTTCAATAATTTCCATTTGAATTTGACTTGGGGCATCTGCAGCATCACAGTCAAACGAATTTTGAAACAATCTAATTTCCTGAGCACTGGCATCCAAATCAGCAAATCGCTTCCGAAATTGTTCTTTCAAATCTGAAATGACTAAATTTGCAAACGATGAAGGAAATTCTGCTTCACTCTTTCTATGCAGCTCTGCACAGTATAGCATATGAATAAAGTTACAATTTTTCACTTGGCTTTCCAGAAGTATCAACTCTGCTCTGAGCAAAACTTGGCATAAGTTGCCTTTAATACAAAAATGGTAATAAGTATGACACCGGCGGTGATGATCTGTTACAATTACAGTGCACCGCCGCAAGAAGTTTTGTGCACAAGACGGCTAGCAACGAACTGCTCGCGCTACCTACATTGACAGGAAGTGACACTGCTGATCGAGGCCGAACAGGTACGAAGAAATGCCACGCAGTATACGGTCCAGAATTAGTAAAATTGTGAATATTAATATTAACATAATGTGACATGTTGACCCCTACCTCCCCAGCAGCACGTGGCGCTCGCGTAATAGGCGAGTCATCACCCCGCCACTCTCCCTGCGGTGACGTCACAAGTGGAGCCAAAGTTAGCCGAGCCCCCGCAACCTGGTAGCTATGCAACGCGAGTCAACAACGGTGACATAACAGGATGACGTGGCACTCATTACGGAACAGGCAAGCACTGCGGCTATATAAGTGAGCTGCACAGCAGCTGCGAGTTAGTTGTAATGTGGGCAGTCGCCGAGTTGTAATGTAACAGTCGCCGAGTAGAGTTGAAAGATGGACATCGCCGAGTTCAGTAGTAGTCGAGCGTGTGTGTTATCAACAGTTCTCCAGTCAGCCGAATATAGTTGGAGTATAGCAGCCGTCGCGGAAAGAAGAACCGGATGTGTGTGTAATTGTGTAATTGGGAGTGTGTGATACAGTGATACATAGCTCCCCTACTGTAAACGTGTAGACTACTGAAGAGAGAGTGAGCTGATTTGCACATAGGGTTATAAATCGTGAAACCCCGCAACAGTGGTAACAGATTAATGCGATTAGGGTTATAAAGTGTGAAACCCCGCATCTGTGTGATAAGTAACTGTAGCCGTTACTTGTAGATTATTCAATAAACAAATTAACGATCTCTACGGCATCTTCAGTAACCAGAAACATGTTACAATAATATGGAATATCAGTATATTTTAAACACAATTTGAATTTGAAATCTATGAACAAGTATTTTTCTTACCAGTACTCATTGGAAAATTAGTTCAATTTCCACATTTCTGCACAATTCTTTTGCGGGGTGGATGAAATCACATCGTGGGCCGCATGTGGCCCATGGGCCATAGTTTGGAGACCCTTGGTCTAGATCATATGGCCCCCCAGTGGGCCAAGCCGTATTTCTGTGGGGCCGCAGACAAAATTTGGAAAAATGGAGGCCCATAGAAACTGTTAAGTGGGCCACAAAATTTTCACTTCTAAAATAAAATTATTAATAATGTAAAAAGAAATAAAAATGCCAAATGGTCAGTACATATAATAACACAATAACTCAATATCCTTGTTTTTGTGTGCCTTACTTGGAAGGGACAGAACCTATTGTACTTAAACCACAACCTTAGATCTGGGAATTCCAAGTACAGGTAAACAGGTACACGCCTTCTCAGAGCAGGTAGAGCCCTAACGAATTATCCTTTATTTTCCTAAATATCTCCCCCTCCTCTCATGAGTTTTACTGCCACCATTTCAGTAAATTTCAGGTGTTCTTCAGTTCAGTATTCGAAGTGTTTGGAAGAAGACATTTTTCTGCGCAAGTTGTATTATTGTGGCAGTTCCCTACTTTGTGGGTAAGTTACAAACTCCAGCTACTATTTTTTGACAAATAAGCATTACATTTCATAATAACTTGAACTTTCATTACAAATAAATTATTAGCTTTCAATAGAATTTGAATGCCTTCCCTCTACAAGAAAAATGTTGTGAATTGATTACAGCAGTTTTGTATTTATTTGAAGTAGAATGGCTTTCAAAGTAATTTTTATGAATACTGGCTTCTAAAATTTTCCACATCTTCAAAAAATTCTCATTGAACTGCAAAGTGATGTAACAGCCCAAGCTAGATTCAAAATGACAAACAAGATTTCTGGATAAGCATTGAAATTGCCAATAAATTTCGACAGCTTTGGGAGAAGGCGAAATTGTTTTTTTATTGGATTTCCTACTTCATATCTAGTTGAATCTGGATTTAGTCGAGTTCTTCATCTGCTATCAAAGGCTCGTAAGTGTCCTGATATTGTGAAGAGAGGTGATCTTCAATTATCTCTAACAACGCTGCTACCAGATATACAAAAACCTGCTTCTTCTCGTCAGCTGCAAGGATCTCACTAAACCTAAGGGACACTAATATTATTGTAATATTTTTTGTCAGGGGCATAATTATATACTGTAAATAAACAGAACATTATATAAGTAAAAATTATATTATAAATAAAGGTTTTTGTTAATAAACCCATTTCTTATTATCAATATTCCTTATGCTATAAACAAATAATTGTTATAAATAAAAGTACAGTTGATAAAGTACACATTTATAATCAATATTACATTTATTACAATTAAACAATATGAGGGGTGAGGGGAGGGTGCCACAGAACTGAATGAAAGTCAGAAATGGGCCACGAGCAAAAAAAGGTTGAGAACCACTGGTCTAGATAAACAATCATCTAACTATGCAAGTGTCTCCTTCATAATCAAGCTATTATCTTTTCAAGAGAGACTCAGTTTCAAGCAGTTAACATAGATGTTGGAAATCTTGATACACAAATGACAACTTAAATTCAAAACAAAAAAATTTAGTCTGGGTGGAGTTTGCAAAATTAATTTGAACCAAACTACCAACTACAATACATCACAAAAACGTTTGAAAATATATGAGATTTAACCTGTTTCAGTCTCAAAAGCCTCTTTTCTAGTATTGGAAGTATGAATGTTAAGAATTCAGTATTATTTATTATTTCACATCTTGCCTACACTCACCATATGCTTAGATGCAGGATGTTCATCAGGCAAAATGAAATCAGATGAATTGTTCGGATCATCTGACGTCTTGCTTCTTCGCCGCTTGTAGCGAAAACCTCGCCTTAATATAGATGGTGGAGATAATTTTGTGCCCACATATGATGGAGTGACTTGGATTAAACATCCATTTGTCACTTCAGATGATGTCGTATCATTATTCATATTGTTGATGGTCTGACCACATATATAACCTGCGCAAAATAAGAAAAATATATAATTAATACCAAAATCTAACAAATTCAAAATTTTTAATATTTTGGGTAACCTTAAAGCATATTGGTTAACTATCCAATTCCATGGAGAATTGCTGAGAAGACAACAGCTGCTCACAAAGTCAATATTAAAACACATGGTGGTAAAACAGTATAAATATAATGGAGAAATATTTACCATCGAACAATGAAGCAAAGGGAAATTTGGAATATACACACACCTATGTTCAACTGCCTTCTTGCAGCAATGTCCTTCTGTGGTGAAAAGGTGGAGGTAATATATTCACTACTAGGTACCAAATCCATCACATTTAAATCTGCAAATCCTTCATCAGGTGATGACACCAGCTTTATCGGACTATTTGTATTCAGAATCTCAAAATCGAACACCCTGTTAACCAAAGGAACAAAAATGCATGAGAAAATTAAATTTACACCTGAAAACCAGATATACACGGTGTGTCCAGGATCCGTTAGGACTCATTTTTTCTTAATTCTGCCCTGCAATGCCATCTGTTGGCGAGTTGTGGCGTTAAGATTCTTGAAGTTTCAGCTGTGGCTGTTTATAATTTCGAAGCTCAAGCATTGCTGCATCATGTGTTCTGATCTTGAATGTAACAGTACTGTTCTGACGCTCGTCCGAAAATGGTGGTGGAACAGAGAGTCAACATCAAATTTTGTTTGAATTTAGGCAAAACCCCCGGAGAAGCGTACAAAATAATGAAAAGTGTGTACGGTAGTGAATATTTGAGTTGCTCAAAATTTTTTGATGGTATGCTGTATTTCGTGATGGCAGGGAGGACATTGAAGACGCTCCACTCCACATACATCAAAACCAAGAACAAGTCGCACTGAAGAAAATGTGAAAAAAGTGACCGAAATCCTTGCATCAGACAGATGTGTTTCTGCAAGACTCATCAAGGAGCTTTTAGGAATATCAGAAAGTATTGTGCATCAAATTTTGACCAAGGATTTGGGCAAATGGAAGGTCTGTGTGTGGTTTGTACCGCACGTGATGTCAGGCGATGAAAAACATGCCAGAGTGGAACACTGCAAAGATATGTTACAAGAATTCTTCGAATTCAACCTGAATATTGAGAGCAAGGTTCCGGATCACTCCTCCACAACAATGCCCCACCCCACAAATCGAAGATCATGAGCGATTTTTTGGCCAGAAAAGGGATCAAAGTCCTTGATCATTCTCCGTATTTGCCAGATTTCTGGTTGTTCCCAAAAGTTAAGTTGATGATGAAAGGAGAACATCATGACACCATCCAGGACATCCAAAGGGAATCTACGGCAGTTTTAAATGCGATTTCACAAAAGGAGTACAGTGACTGTTTTCGAAAACTTTTCAATCGATTCCAGCTATGTAATAATTCAGAAGGAGACTATTTTGAATAAAGAGTGAAATTTTGAAAATAATTTATGTCTTGTATTTTTAATGAACACAGTCCTAACAGAACCTGGACACACTGTGTATACTCAGTATCACTGCTAGTTAACCAACTGTGCCAGTAAGATAGGTCCTGAAGAAGGAAAACACTCACCCTAGTGGTGAAAATGATTGCGATGAATTCTGTGGTGGGGTCGCATGTTGAGGGGACTGTTGCTTATATTCCTGTTCATAATTAGGTGGAATATTCGTGTCAGCCAGTCTCACAGCCTGTGACACTTGGCACACGGCAGGACTTGCTGCTGGTCCTGGACTTGGGCCAGTCTGAGAGAATCCAGTACTTGACTGACTCAATGGCTCATAATATTCTGGAGACCAATCAGTACCCTACAAAAATAAACATAAAAATTAGGTATAATCACAGTAAAAAATTTCCAGCAGTCCCGTTTACTGCGAATGTCTTAACCCACAGCCGTTAATCTCGGTTTTCTAGACCGGAGCCGCTATTCCCTTGAAATAGCTCCTCAATTATCATCATGAGGCTGAGTGGACCCCGTTCGAGACCCACTACTTCTCAGAAAAAATCTGGTAGCACCGGGAATCAAACCCGGACCTCTGGATCTGTAGCCAGGAACACTGACCACTAGACCACAGAGGCAGTCCAGTATATCCACATAGTTTATATTAAAGCTGAACACAACATTCAAGCATACGTGCCATTTCTTGAACACAGTCACCTTAAATGTACTCGTACCTTGGAACAAAACCACTTTTCCTATCTGGAGACGGTGTTCAATGGCACAACAAGGTACAACTGTTGAGTTTGTTTTCTAAACCAATTTTCTGAGAAGCAAAACTGGGAAAAAGAGGGGACCTTTTTTCCCCAGTTTTACTGTTTATTCTGAGGCACTTACCAGCAATAGAAGCTGAGGATGCCCCTCCACACACAAGGCTTTCCATTCGAGAAGCATGCAAAGTGTATAGAGTTTTATTAGTTACCTTATCCACACACTTAAAAAAGCTTTCAACCAGCCTGAGGATGAACATCTTCTATATTCTGTGAACTATGATGTGAACAGAATATTCATCAGTGGGGCGGAATGAAATCTTGTATAATACTGTAACGTGTTTACGTTACTGAATACGCCGTAGAGATGGTTAATTGGTTTATTTAACAATCTACAAACAACGGCTATAATTAATGATCACAATATTACGGGTTTCCACACTTTACAAACCCTACAACAAAATCTCTTAACACAATCTTCACTTGTCTTCACGTACTGATAACGCGGGAGCTATACAAGTCTCCCTTAAATACACACTCCGGGTATAACCGTACTACAGCACTCTCTATGTCTGGAAAGCACACAATAAGTCTTCCGCTCGCTGACTTCTTAGTTGTCGCACACTCGCAGGCTGCTATGTTTCAACTGATGATCACACTGCTGTGGGTCCGCTTATATAGCCTTGCGCTGTTGCTAGTGTGACGTGGCGGATAGCATAGGACGCTGTTGCTAGCGTGACGTCACCGCTGTTGATTAGCATTGCGTAGTTGCCAGGTTACGGGGCTCGGCTATCTTCGGCTCCGCTCGGCTCTCTTCGGCTCCGCTCGTGACGTCACCGCGCGTTGCGCATTGCGGGGTGATTACTCGCCTATTACCGCGAGCGTTACGTTACCGCTGAGGGGTGGGAGGGGAGCGCTGACTTACCCACCGCGTCACTGCTGGTATGGGGGGGGGCTCAGATTTCGCAACATGTCACAATACATATAGACTGCTGCAAGAATGTAGTAGGGTCAAATGAGGAAAGGTGTTCATGAGCTTGCATTCAAGTACACTGCGGAGCAATGTGCTGCACAGGAATGTCAACAAGCTTAAATTAAAACTAATACTAATGACTCCTTCTCAGTAATCTTGAAGCCATACATACACACCTCAGACCTATGCCACATGAACCGGTATATTCAAATTCATAATATGATTTACCTCATACACATCCACACTAACAGCTGCATGTGCTTGATATTCTCCAACAAGGGCTGTCTGTACGGTGGGTTGCTGTGAGCCTTCCGAGAAATTAGATCCACTGGTCTGGTACTGTACACTGTTCATCGGCTCAATACCATTGTACTGGTCTGGGGTACAAGCCTGGGCCCTTGCCTTACTCTTGACACGTTTTCCTTCTAAGGATATTGATAGCTTCTCCTCTGACTCATATTTTCGACGCATTGTAGAGTTCCAGTGATTTTTAATTGCATTATCAGTCCTTGAATCAAAATAATATATTTACATTCAAAATACACGTTACACTGAAGCTTCAGACACAGTTTTAAACCTCTGACCAAGAAGATATCATGACCTGATACTACTCCACAGAAGGGCTTACAGCACGCTCCCATGGACGGGAGACTAGAATAACCACAGCAGTTTCTACATAATGAAAAAGGGAAAAAATCATGATCCCTGCCAGAAATCAAACAGCAGCCATACATTCCATGATGCATAACTTTACTGATAGGGGCATCTTATAACAATTATGCACATAAAACACGAAATGCATCTACAACGTCGGATTTGAGGTTCTCATGACAGTGAAAATGTAGTTGTGGTCCTCTGGGTTGACACCATGAAATCTGGTACACAGTTACCAGTATTTTGGAGGAATCTCATTTTCATTTAACGAGATAACTAGCACAACGTAATCAAAATTGTATGATTCTGAGGTAACCACAATTTTGTGTCTGAGGGCTACTACTTTAAGAGCTGGAATGTTCATATTCACCAGGCACAATCTATGGTCAATAAACCAATATATTAACATAAGTAATACGCACGCACATATACTGTACGTAGCATTTCAAAAGCTACTTTTTTGTATTCAAGGATGCTGAAAATATGCATATCCATCAGAATCTTATGACTAGTTGTGACCGTTCCACTGCTACGCAACTTATTTTAATGTAATCAACTTTATTAATTTTGAAAGCTTAATTGTTCAAAATGAAATGCAGTGAACAAGGGTAGTGAGACATAGGTCAATTCTTGTATGTAAGAGTTAGCGTCTTCCCACGCTTACAACAAGAAACAGGAAGACATCCATCAAAGGTTTATTAGAGGAAAGTTACGTTAAAGAATAGCTAAAGAATTCTTTACTTGGCAGTTTGTGCATGCCATAACTTAAAAAGAGTGAAGTTTTTAGGGCCCAAGCGACGCTTAAGCATTTGTGAAATTGTGACAGAAATATGTTGGAGTAAAAAATCCTTAAACCATTGTAAGCTTTAAACGGAGTGGAGGAATATCTAATTAAAATACTCCTATTTTTCAAATATAACCAATCACTAAAATTTAAGGGTGTGACAGGGTAGAGACACTGAGGAAACAAGGACTTGAAGGTCCAAGTAGAAATCAGTTGTCAAAGTCAGTCACACACTGGGACTCGTTAGAATTAGACGCAAAAAGTCACACACCGGGACTCGTAAGAATCAGATGCAAAAAGTCAGACACTGGGCTCCGAAGCAATTAGACTTAAAAAGTTACACACCAGGCTCCAAAGCAATTAGACGTAAAAGTCACACACCGGGACTCGTTAGGGCTAGACATAAAAGTTACTGATTCGAAGTTGTATCAAGAAGTGGCTAAACAAGTGTTCAATAATATAATTCGTCTAAACTTGATATGTGCTTTTGTAGTTGGTGTTCATTTATTCCTTCTCAGAGTTGTGGCCCGTTCAACGCTCTGAGATAAAGAGACCCTCAGCTTTACCGAATCAACAAACCTCACCTCCTTATAAATTAAATAACCCTGAGATAAAATTTAGTACAAGAAAGAAGTACCTACAAGTGCGACCAACGTGTGTGGGAGAGTGAAGATAATAATTGAGTTTAACAAACGATAAGGTGAGAGAATGACTGTTAAAAAGGTGACTTCAAGAAGAAGAAGAAGAAGGGAAGGAGGTAAGGGATGGCGGTAATATAGTTTTTCCCACAATCACAGTACTTTTCACACTACATATGCAGGAAAATGAAGGCTATTCATATAATTTAAGTACATTCACACATAAAGGCTCATTACTGCACAATGAAGAATCTAATCAAAATGCTGTGTGCTCACTGAAAAGAAATTACATGAAATACATACTACACTAGAATATTCCCCTCAAAAATTCCTTAAACACGTTGCATATGAGACTGGGATTTAAGGTTTCGGGTTTCAAGTTTGGTCTATTTCTGAAAAGGAACTTCAATGCATGAAAGTGAACATTTTTTAGGAAGTGCATAGAATGCATGCATCACAAAAGGGACATTTCTGGCATCTTCTGAGATCTGGATAAGTTTTCTTTGTGATTAGTGTGCCTATGGGCTTATCAACTGCGCTGCAGGTCCAAACACATACGGAAAGAGTTGGTGCTGGTAGTGTGTGTCCCTCCTGCTGGACAGGCTGGCTCTTGGCACACCTACAGTTCTCTTACCTTTTCCATTAGCCAATAACATTATCTATTATTCACACATCACAGGTTACAGAGCATTTAAATGTGATTTAAACAGAACTTTTTAATAATTCTTAAATTATATACTTAAAAAAATCCCTTTTTTTCATACAATAAACTGTTATGCCCCAAGTAAAAACCTAGCTGCCAACTCTACGGCACTGTGAAATTAAAAATCCCCTATTCCCAGATGATACAAATTAAAAATGTCTGAATATAAATTAGCTCTCCTGTACTCGAATCCAAATCTGTTTCCTTAGCAGCCTGAAATGATCCACACCTGCCAGGAAGGAGCTTAGCAATCTTGGCCCACTGGTTACCCCACTGACAGTGGGCTTCATAGATGACCCTGTCTTCATCTTCTGTCCAAGCTGTCTTCTTGATGGCAGGATTCAGATGGTTATGCCAACGTTCGCGACACTGCTTCCCAATCCGTCCCTTCAGATGACGGGCAATCACTGTCCACTTCTTCGGCCCATATCGCTTCACCAATTCAACGACCTTTTCATCCTCCTATCAGAAAAATAAAACAAATACACATGAAAAATGTCCTCTTAAAAAGAAAATGAACCAACTTGTGAATAAACGTCTGTTTTTTCTGGGTTACATATGTAACAGTTTAGGACAGAAAAGGAAAGTACAAGGAGGCTATTTGGCAAACTACACTGGGGTGGCTTTACATACAGTTACTGTGTGGTTGCCACCTCTCCTACCCAGTCTGCTTCAGTGATAACACCATAAAATCAAATACATGGATCTTCTGCACTCCGGTATCCATTGCTGTGTGTCCGCATGTCCAGTCAAATAAAACCAAAAGTCATCTGAACAAAAAGTGAAGTTGGAATCAAAGCTTATCATCATGAAATGACTAGAGATTCCTGTTGAAGAAATTAATGATTCTCATTGGGTGCATCCTGTTGTGCTTATTATATAAAATTCAATGGGATCTGTCATAACACAACAACAAAATGCTGACCTAGACCATTTCGTTGCTGTGTTACAACGGATCCCAATAAAGAATTCTTTACAGAAATTAATGATGTTGCAGGCGCAAAGAGTGAACAACTGTTTTTAAAGGTAATAGTTTCAATTAATTTGTTCCAAGTCTTGTGGTCTTTTTTGATGCTAATTTTTGGTAAATACGTGGAGCAATCCAAAAGTTCCCGAAATATATTATAAAAACTATTACATCTTACCTAGAGCTTATTCTGCACCATCACCTTCAAAGTAGTACCCTTGGGAGCGCATACACCGATCCCAGCCTTTCTGCCACATTTCAAATGCATCCTGAAGTCTTTCTTTGTTAGGGTGTTTAGTACCGTCTGCGTTTCCGCTTGAATTTCCTCAACAGTATCAAATCTTCGCCCCTTCAACTTGATTTTCATCTTAGGGAAGAGAAAGAAGTCGCATGGAGCTAAGTCTGGCGAGTATGGTGGGTGGGGAACAACTGCCATCTTGTTTTTAGCCAAAAATTCCTGCACAATGTAAGCCGTATGCGGTCGTGCGTTGTCATGGTGGAGTACCCAGTCATTCATGCGCCACTTCTCTGGACGTTTTCCCCTCATGTTCTCCCTCAAACGCCTTAGAACATCATGATAGAACTCTTTATTGACTGTCTGACCAGGAGGGACGAACTCCTTATGAACAATCCCGTCAACATAAAAAAAAAACAGATCAACATGGACTTAATGTTGCTCTTGACTTGTCGAGCTTTTTTTGGCCGAGGTGAAGAAGGGCTCTTCCATTGCGACAATCGCTGCTTGCTTTCAGGGTCGTAGCCATAAACCCAACTTTCATCACCAGTGACAACCTTCGAAAGAAAGTTTGGATCCTCTTGAAGCTGTTGCTGAAGTTCCCTGCAGACTTCCAAGCGATGCTGCTTCTGTTCATTTTGCAGCAGTCGTGGCACAAACTTCGTCGCAATCCTCATGTTCAGTTCCTCTGACAAAATTCGTTGACATGTACCATAACTTAGTCCCAAGATGTTACAGAGGTCTTGGATGGTCAGTCTATGATCTTGCAGGATCGGATCCCTAACTTTTGCGACATTTTCTGGTGTTTTGCCCATTGACGGCCGTCCTGAACGATCGTCATCATCAGTCAATGTTCGGCCATTTTGAAAAGGCTTATACCAGTTGTAAGTTTGTGTCTGCCCTAAACTGTTTTCACCAAAAGCTTGCTTCAACATTTTGTGCGTTTCTGCAGCGGTTTTCCCAAGTTTGAAACAAAACTTTATACAGACACGCTGCTCTCTCAGGTCAGCCATCGCAAAACCGCAAACTCACGGAAACACAACAATGGAAATACGTTCACCAACAATAAACCCAACCACTCAACTCGACGCCGCTTGCCACACTGATTCAAGAAGGATGTGTGAGGAGACACCTAGCGGTATTTTGATGTACTCATAACCATTCACGCGCAAAATTCAAATTTCGGAAACTTTTGGATTGCCCCATGTATTATTCATTATCAGCCTTCCCATTACTAAACTACATACACCTGAGTAGAGCTTTATTAAAACAAAAAACTGTAACTGATATAACTGCCTACATAAATAGTCACACCTACTGTCTGCTCACAATGGCAGTTTAACTACATTTACGAGTACTTCAATTTCAGTCAAGTCTCAGATAAAGTTCTACATAATGACTTAACTGAATAAGTTCAACAAAATGATGTTTTGCATTTATAGTGTTACCATGAAGTCGATGAAATTTCACCAGCAGTGCTGGTAAATCTGTTGGCCACGACTTTCTCAAAAATCTTTAATTGCTTCCCAGCCTCTGGCTTCTGGCAAAAGCAGATGTGCAGAGGGGGTTGCATGGATGGTTCAAATTAATGTAAGCTCTAGTTCTTCAACTAGGGAGCCTCCACAAATCCTATGGCCCATGGGCAAGAGATACATAGGCTTCTCACGGTATCTTGTGGTTTAGTCAACAGGCCACCAAATCACAAACAACACACAGCAGATGCCAGAAACAGTTCCAGCTGAACATGGGCATTCCTTCCATTTCTATAAAATGTTCACATTCATGCATTATGTTCCTTCTCAGAAACAGAACAAACTTGAAACTTTAAACATGAAACTTCAAACGCTCATCTCCTCCACATGGGGCCTCATTCATTCATCAGTAATCTGTCAAGACGACATGTCCACAGTCTCTTCCAAAACAGTTCCCCCACTTGATGCGCTCTAGTGCTTTCTCCTTCAAATGAAAATATCATCTTTTGTCCCCAAGGTCATCCAGCATCTTCTTACGTCTTTTTTCCTCGTCTTCTGGTCACTTCTATCCGCCCCTCTATCTTTCCTTCAATAACTTCTTTTAGAAGGCAGTTACCGCGTAAGGTATGACCAATCCAATTAGCCTTCTGTTTTCTTATTTCATGTAGGATATTCCTCTGCTCACTGACTCTAAATAACACTTCTTAATTTCTCACATAATCGGTCCAACTGATCTTCTCCATCCTTCTCCAACACATTTCAAAGCTTTCCAGGTGTTTCTGATCTACTGCCCTAAGTGTCCAAGTTTCAGCTATGCGATTTTAAATAATACTGTTCAAGCCTACATGTGATTTCATTCAATCTCTCTTCATTGAGCACTCAGCATTCTGCTCTCTCTCTCTCTCTGGTCCAGTAACAACCTTGTCCATGAATGTTAGGACTGTGTGAACAGATATTATTATTATTATTTGAAATTGTAACATCCCAAAATTTGCATCGGAATCATTACCTCACTTTTCACGTGGGTACTGTACATCGGCCGTGTCAAACATGCGGCCCCCAAAGCCACAAAGTGCAGCCCCTCAACTTTTAGAGATAATTGATATTAAAACCAATATTAAAATTTTAGTAGAAATATTTTTTTCCTGATTATTGCAGAAGGGTTTGTCCAACTAACGGTTTGTAAAGTTTGTGAAGGACAAACTACTGTATTTCAGAAGGTTAATGCACTAAAACCCGCACAGCCTCACCACCCCAAGTATTTCCAAGAATCCCTTTTGGAGGCGTAGTAAGAATGCAAGGAGAGTGGCAACTGACAGACAAGTGCAAAGGATTTCTACCTTAAAAACTAACTTGCAACCCCCAGCCATTGTCTAATGGGCTGCTAGCAAACTTTCACTTTTATGACCATTGAGACAAGATACACTTTCCTCCTAGTCCAGTAGTCTCTTGTACATTGTCATTCAGTTCATTTCTACACAGCGACTGGTGCTGATGTTACATTGTGATGAACATATAAAGTTTATAATTAAACATTAAATTATCAACTACGAGTTTTCTTGTATATGTACAGTAACTTTTAAAGGGCAGTGTTGTTTTCAAAAAATTCAAGTAGCAAAAAGACAACTACTGAAAGTGAGCGCCATTTTTTTTTCAAGAAAAATGGGAAATCTCTTATTTCTGTTGTGAAATAGAAGGTAAAATTACATGTTTGATTTGTGGGCAAAAAAAGTGTTCCACTTTAGGTAATTATATTGAAATTATTCCTAAATAATAAATAGAATTAAATTTCCTTGTATCAAAATCTAATGTATAATTATATTTTGAAGTGCGGCCCTGGACTACTATTTATAAGGCCAAGGTGGCCCTCTGTACAAGTTGAGTTTGACATGCCTGCTGTACTTGTTTCAATACATAACTTCATGGCATTTCGACACAAGATGTAAAGTGACCCACCGAATGTTTAATACAATATTTGGGGCTTGGAATTATATTCAACATGCACATAATACATAAACTTTTTCCTCAGCAGATGATCAAAAATTTACTGGGGGTAAAACTGGAGACAATGTAATGTGTTTAGGCTATTTTATTTGCCTGTCCACAATGTCATGAGTGTAAATATGTGTAGTGCAAGATGATGCAAGTGGTCTGCGCCCTTCTTTCCCTGCTGCCAAAGGATTTTCTGGACGCTCTCAAATGATCTCCTGTACAATCCTGGCTACTTCGCTATATTATCACTGTTATTGTTGTTGTTGTTGTTCTTGTTGTTGGTTATTACTGCCATCATCACCTATTATTATTACTCAACCATATAGTTCAATCCTAAACTCTGTAGGCCTACTAATGGAAAAGAGGAACTGGGATAGCTTAGTCGGTATAGCAACTGGCCACGGGCTGGACGACCGAGGGGTCGGAGTTCGAGTCCCGGTAAGGTCAAGAATTTTCACTTTTCCACGTCATCCAGACCAGCTCTAGAGTCCACCCAACCTCCTATCCAATGGGTACCAGGGGCTCTTTCCCAGGGGGTAAGGCGGACGGGGCGTGAAGCTGACCACTCACCTCCAGCTAGTGCTGAGGTTAAGAAAATGTGGATCTATACATCCACTCCCCCATACGCCTTCATGGCGTAGTGCTCAATTAGTTAAGCACAGGGCCATCTTCACCTCTACTCATGGAAGATAACCATTTACAACGAAATGATAGTTCACTACACACTGCATGACTTGAAACCGCTGCAAGCAGATGACACCCCACAATGAGCCCCCTCATGCCAAGGTCCAACACGTGGGAATGCGAGTCACTTTCTTCTTGCTTCACGGCAGATGAGTCACGCCCTCTTTCAATATGGCAAACTGTGCAAATTAGCTCAACCCGTAACTGTCTTTATGTAAATATCAAAGCCCATTTAGAAGCTTAAGAATGATACGAAAACATGGCTGGATCATGCATCAGAGTTCTAATAATCAGTGGGTACCTAATGCTCAACAACGGCCATGCCATAGCGCAAGCGGTTAGTCGCTGGCTTCCCATCGCGGCGGCCTGGATTCGATCCCGGGTCTGGTCAAGTGGGATTTGTGGTGGACAAAGTGGCGCTGGGGCAGGTTTTCTCCGAGTACTTCGGTTTCCCTTGCCAATCTTCATTCCATCAATTGCTCCACAATCACCCTCACCTATCATCTGGAGCTGGTACAATAGGCCAGAAGTGGCCGCAGTACAAGGGACTTAGTCCCACCCCACTAGCAATACAAAAAATAATGCTCAACACAACTTCAATTTCAAAATGAAATGAGAGTGAAAATGTGTAACTTAGAATACGCGTTCTTTGCAATTTTCCACATACCACTGGAATGGCCGACAATTTCCTGCACGCACAGGTAACTGTTGTAAAACTGATCACATCTGTCATAAATATTTGTTCTTTTCCTGTACATATATGCACCACACTACGGAGGCTCGTGTAGCGGTAACGCTCTACACTCGTATCTGGGAGGTGGTCGATTCGAATCTTGATCGGAACAGCGGCTATCCTGCCTGCGGCTTTTCGTGGGTTTCCTCAGTCCCTCCAGACGTGCCGTGTTAGTAGTCCGATTCGACCATGGCCGATTCCTTGGAAATCCTTTCCAATTTATCATTCATCCTACCATGCAACCCTACATAACCTTAATTAGGGAATGGCAAGCCATGGCCCACAGGCTGGATCCAGGCCGGGACAGCTTTTCATCCGGCTCTCGGAGACATTGCCAAAACGTACTTTACGATTCACCGCTGCACACGCATTAGGGTTCTCAGTCTTCACTAGTCGCATCCTGGCAACGGATTTATCAGCCTTACTGACGCTTCAAATCACATGTGAAGTCTTCTTTTCTCAACCCAACTCCTTTCTTGACATTATTCTGCAGCTGCCAATTTCGAAAACGCGACTAAATTCCATTCCTCTGTTCCCAAGCTCATATCCCGGCAGGCTGGCGTCCCAAAACTCGACTACTATTCTCTACTCGACCAAAGTCAAAGTCAAAGTCAAAGGCGTATTGCGACTGACGGTCGGTCGGTCGGTCGGTCAGTCAGTCAGTAAGTAAGTCTTGCTGTCGACCCCCTTTTGAGGCTCATGACCAGATATTTATTACTCTTTGACAGTTACGGTTTTTGTGGGGCGTCCTCTCGTCAGAGAGGATGGTTCTGTATATGCTGCTGGCCCTTGCCAGCGCAGTCTTTCTCGGGTCCGAGTCCCTTGGGACTCGTGACCACATTTTACTGTCTCAGATTTGAGACTTCCCTTTTTTGTCGTCTCCTACGACCCTCTTGTTGACGAGGAGTGTTTACCGCGCCGCTGTCTAGCAACAGACGTCCTACTGTCGATCGCGTTGGCTCCCGCGGTAATATGTTTATGGAGTCGTTGCCTAGCAATGGGCATATACGTCAGAATATATAAAGAGTTTAACTTTGTTGACCAGTTCACCATTCATTATATCAAACCAGCAAGCGAACGTACCGAACAGGTTGAGTGAGATTCGATGAGTACTACTAGGCAGTGTGGAGGAACGCAGTAGATGCGGTTGAAGGAGAATGTAGAAGAGTTTCTTGTCTTGTTCTAATCATTTGCCTTGGGAACTACAAGTTTGTGTCACATGAAATTAGTGGACAGTCCCTCCAAGTAAAGGCCATTTGAGAACAGATGATGGGACTTATTAATTGGTGTCCGGAGTTTCGATAACTTTCAGGACTCACCTCTTTGGTCCAAGGTCCTTTCACTAACTCTGGATTGACGACCTTCTGCCAGCGCTGCTGACACTGGATATCGGAACGGTCGGGGAAGTGAAGCGAGATGACGTCCCATCTCTCATTGTAATCCTCCACCAGCTGTTTCAACCGTCCATCCTGCAACACAATCTCCATTTGCTGTTATGTCCCTAAAAATCAATATCAGTTATGCGAAGTCTCCCACCTTTCGGGGCTATGGCAACAGACTGACAGCCCACTTGGGACCAAGATCTCACAATGCCGGCAGCCGGAGAAAAACAAGCAGTGGGTCACACGGGGCCCGAGGGACAATTTCAATGAAAAAAAGAATTTTAAAATGTTCATATTTGATCACTGCTAGGGTACTGCACCCGGGAGACTACAGTGAAATGCAATAAGTCAGGAAGGGGCAGATAAAGAGAATTTTGATAGGGAAACCCCGTAGAAGTCATATTGAAGACCATGAGATGGAGGACGGATGGAACCAGCCCCGGTTATTTCTTATTATCGGTGGAAACCTTCGGGTTCTGCTGCCAGTATCAGAATGCGTCTGATGATCGCTTAGTACTTTCGCTTCTATGTGAGTGGCTCACGTTTCGATTCGGCCGAGAGACGCCATATCCTGAGGTCATGGCTTTACTCAGTTCCTCCGTTCAAATTCAAGGATATCATCAAAAATATACTATGACCGCTTCTTTTCACATCTATTTCCAAGTCACCATCCCACCATCTGACACAACGTGACCAACGCAGTTAAATCGTTCTGAAATTGTCCTCCGTGACCTGTAGTCCTCAAGCGAACTATATTGACCGAGCGACCGCCGCTTGCCGGCGAAGTCAGTGCCAATTTCAGCGGATTGAGGTGTCGCGTGCTCAGCGCAACGGATCCCCACGGCCATTAATCTCGGTTCTATACACCGGAGCCGCTATTTTCTTGAAACACTCCTCAATTATCCTCACGAGGTTGAGTGGACCCCGTTCCAGACCCAATACTTCTCAGAAAATCTGGTAGCGCCGGGAATCGAACCCGGGACATCTGGATCTGTCGCCAGGAACTCCGACCAATAGACCACAGAGGCGGTCACATCTTAAATCCGTACTGTATTCTGAAATATCCCACGAATTAATAATAATCTACGTCTTTTATTGAATGGTTTTTACGTTATTTAAAGATGTTCCAACTTCGAGAGTTAAGTAATTTAACTTGGCAGATGAACGCGAACGGTGAGCAGATGACTTATTCTTTTCGGTTGCATATATTATGTACAGCATACTTTATGTAGAGCGTCTAATGGTACGGATGAGTTACTGATGAACTCGAAAAAGGACCTGAAATGAATCTGCCACGACATGCATGTCAGGAGGGTCTGAAGAAAGTCAGGAACAGATCCGGATAGGCAATATACTAATGCGGTATTCATGAAATACGAAGTAGGAGTGGCAACTACGACGCTGTGACGCTTATTTTAAAGTATGGGTTACACGGGTTCGATACTGATTACTAAACTCGCCCAACGACGTGTAGTGTACACATTTAATTACAGCTTTCGCCAAAATTCCATGAACAGTTTCAGCCGATGGAACACGCAGACATTATCTAAGCATATGAAGTATTGCAGGCCGGACAAGCATGGCTAACTATCACTCTCCAATGCTTCTTCGTATAGTAGTCGCATATTTTTTTATCTTCTGCTGTGAGTATCGGCAGGGGTAACACGCAACCCGGGAAACGATCCTATAATTCTGAAAGGAATATGTGACCGAGCCGGTTTGTCCACTTGCACCATGACACCCTGCAAGAGTGCAACCCCCTCGCCCCCCTTTAGCCATTGTACTCCACATACCCGAACACGCAGTTCTCACGAGAGGGAAGGTCCAGCATCTAAACCTTACGTTACAATGTGCAGCGACGGAAAACCAAACAGGGCCACAGCTGATGTCTCGATCATATGGACCGGTTTCCTGCACCTACAAGGAAAGATTTCAAGATCTTGCCGTATCTTCTGACCGAAACACAATCGTTCCCCCAACATTTTGGTACTGCGGCCATTTTCTTCTGCAGCAGCAAATGGCCGTTCTGAAAGTCTGCGGGTAAAATATTTTTAGCACGGTTCCTTACTTCATAAGGCAGGACAAAGGCTATGGAATCGTGCCAGTGTCAGCCCGTGTGCCTGGCCTTCTCCCGTTACTTTTGAAAACAACTGTCGGATTTTCATCAAACTTCGTATGGTCATCACGCCACTTGAGGTCATTCATTTAGTTTTTGTACTTTCTGATTTCCTGCCACCAACCAACACAGAAGCCTTGGGGACTTTCCGGCACAACAGCCACTTAATACGAGTCCTTGATAATCCGAATTGCAACACATCTTCAAAAACAGGAGTTCCGCAAATAACTCATTAGAGCCTACTTTCTAGCTGCACAGATTTCTAGTTCGGCAGACCTATTACCATCACTCCTGTCGGGCCTGCACAAATTTTCCCGTAAGTCCAGAGACCACCTCCAAAAACTAAGCGCCAGAATAGAAGACAAAATACTTGGGTAAGACATCCGTTAGTTTTTATTAACAAAAGGACAACCAAAACATCTACACATGAAGAACCACTTCACACTCGGAACACCTATCGAGACACTGCTGCACACGCAGAAAATCTGTACTATGTTCTGCTACTTTAGAATACGGGATCCGAATAACGATGGGCTGGACAAGTAAAATGGAAGGGCTTACTACTAAAGTACAGATTCTCTGTATTAAATGTGTCGGACACAACCTCAAGCTTCGCGCTGTCATCGTATTGGTAAACAATAATCTCCCTCCCTCGTGGAACTTCAGATTAACCTCATGGATAACTGTGACGGCACAGAACGACATTTTTGGTGCCAATCCTGGGCTTCACATATCACTGAAAAAATGTATAAAGATATGGGTGTTCAACGTAAAATGGGCATAAACGCGCTACATGAAATTTCCACCATGAACGAATGGGAACGTCCACGGCAAGCATTTGAACATAAGAGGAAAACCGAGTTCAGACAATAATTTGAGCTACAGCCACAGAAAAAGAGAAACGTCCTGCCCCTGTCCGGAATCCAACCCCGGCCGTCTATCCCGTACACCGTCGTTATACTGACTGAGGCATCCAAGCTTCGATACCCGTACATATCGATTATTTAAAGTCCCACTTGCAAGAGCTTTTTCAAGGGAATTAAAACGTTTCGGAGTTTCCACAGAGTTTCCACTTCACAGAAGTTTCGGTGAGCGCCCAGCGATGAGCCGCGGGATAGACATGTGTGTCCTATTTCGGAGTGAAAAGGAGCGAGAAGCCCACACGGGCCCGGACGTAACTAAATTATTTAATATGAATAGTTTCGGCGGTAGGTGGTTACTAGGTCGGCTACAACAAGGAATACCGGGCAGATTTCATGTATTTTTTTTGTATCCCGTTATGTGCCATGCATTAAAGGTCTGTGAGCCGTCAACGCCTAATTTAACTTCTAGCACGTTTGACTATTAAAACATTACAACACTGAATTCGAGGTATGTTCCACATTAAAAACTTAAAATTAAAATTTAGATTATGGTATTGTCTGTAAATCTTAAGAAAATGGTCCATTTTGATAACTCGATGTCATATGTATTCGTTGATCAAGTCAAGGAGGATGGGGTGGGTAGGGCATATAGCACGAATGGGTGATACGAGGAATGCATATAGGATATTGGTGGAAAAGCTAGAAGGAAAGAGACCACTGGGAAGACCAAGGCGTAGGTGGGTGGACAATATTAAAATGGATCTTCGAGAGATTGGATGGGATGGTATGGATTGAATTGATCTAGTTCAGGGTAGGGACCGGTGGAGGGCTCTTGTGAACACGGTAATGAACCTTCGGGTTCCATAAAATGCTGGGGAATTCATATGTATTCGTAAACAACCTCATGATTTCTGCAGGTTGAAACATATAATGGGATGGATATATTAAGACATTTTAACATACGTATAGGTTTATAATCAAGTGTTGACTCCCATTATACCTTTAACAGATCTCACACAGCCCATTTTCCTACCGAACATCATTCCACTCCTACAAATTTGGTGTGGGGGGCACGAGGTAGCGTAGTTTGTTGAGGCACTATGCTACAAGCCGGAAGGTCGCAGGTTCGATTCCCGATGTCATTGGATTTTTTTTTTCAAATTACCTAATCCTTCCATCCGCACTATGGCCGGGTCGACTCAGCCTCTAACAGAAATGAGTACCAGGAATCTTTACGGGAGGTAAAGGGAGGCCGGGGCGTAGTGCTGACGACCTTACCGTCATCTGTGAGCCGACTGTCTAGTAGATGTTGGGAGCCTCGACGTTTCACAACCCTATGGGCATTCAAGGCTTGTTACAGGTACAGCTTTTCTCTTTTTACAATCTCGTGTTTTTGTCATATTGAGGTAATGTAATTCCATGATCGTTTAGAGACGGGCAATTTGATCCACGTGAAGTGCTAAATTCTTACGCGTATGGTCATATGATAGTGAGTCAGATTTTGTTTACTGCATGTATGTAAATGCCGCGTGTTCACATTATCATCACTTTCATCCTTATCATTAAGCGAGGGCTTGAAATGACAGGGCGGTCCGCAAACACTTCTATTTGCCGTGTTCAGACATATGTCTACACCGGGAACAGCCAAGAGAAGATGGTGTGTCCCGAAAGGTTGCGCGTCTTACTCAGAACAACGAATCACTCAAGTGCTGAGCCTGAGTCTGTCTCAGTGATGTTTCCATTAATGATTTAGTTGCGATCCTAACTGAAATCGTACTCAAATTATGGGAGTAAGTTGGTCAACTGTGAAAGGATAACCAGATTCTTGTTACGAAAAATTATAAGGCTTTAATAGCTGACAGTTCCAGTAGTTCAACTCCACATTAGTCAATGACACGATCTGACTGCGTCAGCAGTTCCCAAGAACGAAGCGGTAGTTACATAAGACATTCTATCGGCTGATTTTGTTTCACGTCCTTCGGCTTCAGCTATCTTCGCTAACTCTTATGGGTTGCAGCCCATGTTCGCGAAGAGAAATGAGGCTGGGAAGGCAATTCCCAACACACCTGTTAGGAAGGGCTCCTCACCTCCCCCGTTGTTATAAACAGAGCTAAAATGAAACTCCCTTTCTGTTTCCCGGTTTGGCCTTGATGTTTCTATCACAGACATTTCAAATTCTTTATGAGAGCAATTATAATTAACTTCCTGCGATCCTTCTCACTTATGTCAGTGAGGACTTGTCCTTGGCAATACAAGAATACGGTCCAAGAACTAACTGCTCCATTTAATGAGCTGCTAATTTCACTCGCAACTGGTGCGCCAGCATCGTCTACAAGCATAGAAAAAAAAGGGTCCTATGGTAATGCGAGATCTGAGGTTCTCACGACAGTTAACTAGGAAGATCACACTTGGATGTGACGAGGTGTTGTAGCACGGTAGATATTTAATGTTCTTCTTCAGGAGAGACTCTTAATACCTTAAAGATGAATGTGAAAGACTTCTCTACAAGCTAGCAAATAGCGGCGCGGTTAACGAAGGAAGTTCGTGTCCCTGTGGCTGCTCCGGCAGCACAAACGTGTATAATCCAGTTATTTCCTTATACGTTTCGGCCAAGCTGGCAACAGTCAGGCGAAATCTACTTTCGTTATCCAGTAACTGATATCATACGTATTGGCCAATGTTTACTTACTCATGGAGCCGAGTCCTTCTTGAGAAGCAGCCAACTGTGTAGCTACCCACAACTTCCCAGCATTTTACGGAACACGAAGGTTCATTACCGTTTTCACAACAGCCTCTCCGCTGGTCCCTATCCTGAGCCAGATCAATCCAATCTTATCTTTCTAAGATCCACTTTAATATTGTCCACCCACCTAGGCCTTGGTCTTCCCAGTGGTCCCTTTCCTTCTGGCTTTCCCACCAATGTCCTATACGCATTCCTGCTCTCCCCCATTCGTGCTGCATGCCCTGTCAATCTAATCCTCCTTGACTTCAACATTCTACTTACACTTGGTGAAGAGTATAAGTTATGAAGCTCCTCGTTATGTAGTTATCTCCGACCTCCTATCACTTCATCTCTCTTCGGTTCAAATATTTTCCTTAACAACCTGTTCTCAAACACCCTCAGTCTATGTTCCTCCCTTAATGTCAGAGACCAAGTTTCACACCCATACAGAACCACAAGCAAATTTATAGTTTTGTATATTCTAATTTTTAATGTTTCTGGACAGCAGATGAGAAGATAAAAGGGTCTGCACTGAATGGTAGCAAGCATTACCCAAGTTCAGTTTCCTCTTAATTTCTTCCGGAATCAGGTTTTGATTTGTTATAGTTGTTCCCAAATATCTGAACTGTGCCACATTTTCAAAACATCTGTTTCCTATTTTTATGTCATGATTTTGCCCTGCATTCTGGCGACGAGACAGCAACATACACTTAGCTTTCTCTGTGTTTACTTCTAGACTTCTAGACAAACCTCCTTACCAGCTTCAATTAAAGTTCTGTATTTTTCTTTACGGTATTTATATTATCCAGAAGATTCACATCATCTGCAAAGACCAACAGCTGATGTGTCCCATTTAAGTCCAGTATCACCTGGTTTTGCTGGAATTTCCAAATGGCATATTATAAAGCAAAGTTGAAAAGCATTGGCGATAAAGCGTCTCCTTGTTTCAGACAAAAGGGAGGGCACAGACACAGTATAGTGATCTCACACGCCCAATTTCTCCATAAGGGAAGGACGACAGGCCAAAATATGTCCCCACCAAACTTGTACTTGGAAGACTTCTATGGAAAATTTAAACGCAGCACATTTGTGCGACTCCAGCGTGTGCTTGGAATCTGATGAAAAGGCTCGTGTGAACAGGGTCTATTGTATTCCCAGATGAAAGGGACAGCATGCGTACTCTGATCCCTACTGTACTACATAAAACACGTTTGAACATGCAAGTACAGAGCACAGGTTTTTAAAAGTATGTTTATACTTACTTCATCTTTGCTCCAGCGGCCTTTATTGATGGATTTGCGTCCCCCACTCCGAGCTGTTGGAGGCGTCTCGTCGACAGCGGATTCATCAGACATGTCCTCCTCGCTTGAGCCGCTATCATAGCCGGAGCGGGACCTAAAAACACATACATACACAATCTAAGTACTTGCAGACTGTCAACGAACTAAATATTATCAGCAGGCGCAATGGGCTGAACCTTGTTTGAGAGAAGTATCTTGAGGATTATCTTTGGGGCTGTGCAGTACAGAAGGCAGTGGAGAAGGTGCATTTTGAATTTAGGGCGGTCGAGATGACTGGCACACCTTTTTAGAATGTAGGAGCAGAACTCTTGCAGGAAGTTAGGTCTACATAAAACAGAGAGTAACCGACGAGTAGGCAGACCTACTATCAGGTGGCTGGATTCAGCTGAAGAAGATTTTACGGCAATGGGCGTTAAGAACTGGAGACGAAAGTGAAAGGATTGGCACCAATGGCGAACAATCGTAAAAGAAGCCAAGGTTCATCATAGTCTGTAGCACCCGCAGAAGAAGATTATGAGCCAGGTCTGACTAAATATATTAAAATTAAGAGGATGAAGAGGGCAGGGCATGTCATTTGAAAGGATAATAGTGTGACACCCGGCCAGAAGCAAAAGAAGAAATTGTAAGACATAAAATGAGATGGGACAACAGTGTGGACCAGGATATCACACTTCCAGGAGAGAGGAACTGGATGATCCTGGCATTAAGTAGGGAAGAATGGAAGAAGTTTCTGAAGAAGGCCGGGGTCCACATAGGGTCGTCAAGCTGCTGCTGCTGCTGATGATGATGCTACAATGGGCTGAACAACAGAGGTTCTATTCCCAGCAAGTGCTGGGACTTTCCGTCACTCCGTCCAGACCGGCTCAGAGTTCGAGAAGGTTCCTACCCAACAGATAGCGCACCCCCTTTAGAAGTAGGGCGGCCGAAGCGTGCATATGAACACTCATCACGTAGATACGGTGTTTGAATAAGTGGAGCTTTATCCCATTTTCCATACATAATTATAATGTGCTGAAGCACCGAAACAGTATCACCACTATGGGCACGTAACGACTACATGCACATTACAATATGGGTATTTACAAAGCCGCTTTACCAAACTACATGGATTACAAGTTTAAGAAAAACATCAGTTACAGATGATTTTTTAGAACCTTCATAACGATGTATGTTTAAAAAAATGCGTTCTTCTGAAGCTGATGACTGCTTCGTTGCGATGCCTAAAGTATATCACGTGTTTCAGTGAGTTGTTTAGGCAACAATCCGTCTGTTTAAAGAATTAGTGGCATAATCTTCCTTCCCCTGAAATGTCACTTTTTGAAATCGAACTAACAAGACCTGTACATAATTCCTGTGTTATCTTACATTATGTTTTCTTCTGAAATAAGCAGACATACATTATTTTCGATTTATTTTTACTTTTTATTTATAATCTGTATGTAGGGTTTGTTTTTTGGAATTATTTTATCGCGTCCTAAGAGAGTTTATATTTTATAGTCTACAGTAAGGTACATTTGTAGTGTTGCTATCAGTCTTAAGTTTTATTTATTAATACAAAAGATCGTTCAAATTCAACGGGTATCATTTCTCTCATATCCTTGTCTTTCACTCCCTCTTCTCCTTTCCTTTATCCCTTTCACATCTCTCTCTGTTCAGACTGTGAAATTATATTTTTATCCTTGAAATGACAGTTTCGAACACTGAGTTACACTGTGTTTAAGCACATGAAAACTACTTACTGTTGTTTTCAATAACAAATGCTGAGTTCCCACAGAAGTATACAAACAAAACAGATGATTAATATCTATTATCTACAAAAACTACCTTGAAACAATGTCGTACCGTCTTCTTGAACAATCGATCGACAATCGACTAGTCGAGAAATTCCGTACTTCTATGGTATCTAATGTTCAAAACTATGTTAAGAACGCCCGCTACTGGAACTCGTCCCGAGCCTGTTAAATCCAGTCCCCATAATAGTTCTCTAATCTACGTCCAGAGCTCCCAAGTTGTCTGACCAGAAGTTTCTTGGCACTGCTACATGCCAATGAATTACTGAACTAAAATAATTAGAGTGCCGTAACATTGAATACACAAGCATCTGGATACAATGTACTTATAAGAACACAATCCATTTCTACAGTGTATCACACAGTGACCCGTATCTTTTAGACAAATAATTACATAGCCTGCTGTAATAGGCATTCTGGGATGAGGTAAACAAGAAATATGTTGCGAGTTTTATGGCAGAGATTATGACAGTTACAAAGTTCGCCTGACAGACTCCCAAAATGGTTGTAAACACAGATTAACATAAACAGCCGTCGCTGGTTGCAAGACTATTGTCTCCATGCATGTGCAATGCATACAGTTCCTACAGATTTGTTGGAGTGTCACACCGTAAAGTGTAAACTATACAATTCCATTACTCATCCCTAATTTAAAGTTTCGCTAGTTCAAACGGACTCACTGTTCGGCTGAAAAGTAATTCGCTGATGTTCAATTACAACTAACAATCGATCAAAACTTGAGACAAATAAAGNAGGAACATCAAATGTAAATAGAAAATTCGGTTGCATCTGGAGATCTGAGGAAGATCTAAAAGTTCGTGACGTTGGTACATTAGTACAAATATTGTGTTTCTGGACATTATCCATCGTCCTGTCTTTACCTAAAAACCGTCCTGTTTATTTTGCAAAACACAACGTTTCGGAGACTGGATTCTGTCTCCGTCTTCAGCTAAAAACTGTTAGATCCGGTCCGGAGATAGGACTAACTCCATCGATTGGGCCCAACTGAGTAAGTTTTACTTGGAGACGGAGACAGAATCCAGTCTCCTAAACGTTGTTTTGAGAAATAAACAGGACGGTTTTTAGATAAATACAAAACGATGGATAATGTACAAAAACATAATATTTGTAATAACGGTTGGTCACTAGAAGCTTGTCTATGACACGGTGGGGCTCTCTTTTAAAGGAAATTGAGTCGATGAAAAGCAGAGATTATGTTTTGTCGCGCAATTTTCACTGTACACCTATGAATACAAATTGTCATTGAAATCCGTTTAGTTTCGGGGTTAGAGTGTACTGATGTACTGACTGCTTTCGTACATAAACATAAAATGTAACTTCTGTGTAAAAATACTCTTTTCCACATCCACGACAATAAAACTAAACGCAGAATATTCACAGTAACACGTTACGAATCTGAAGCACGACTTCGGGTTCCAGGAATACGCCGCGTAGAATGCTACAGGTTCTTCCACATTTCGGCAAACATTTCTGTTGTCATCTTCATGGTTACCCCCAAAAGCCGAATACATTAATTCCAGCGGTGAAAATCTAATAACTAAACACTTATAATTTCTGATGTCGTACAATATATGAACTTAGAAGAATGCACCTTAGCTGTATTTATCCCGTAAACAATTATTCGACTTCTATGGACAGCTCAAAATTCCGAAACTGGCCAATTTTTTGTAGCACATGGCATGTGATGCAAACATGTGACGATCCCACCGGAAGTACTCTACCACCGTAACACACACATAACCGCAAGTGTCCATGCTTAGTGGGATACGATTCTCTAGCAAGAGGATATCGTCGGCATATGGGCAGCAACAGATCTGGCTTCGGATCCACACCTGTTCACTCAAACTGCGTTATCTGTTCAGCGGGTTCCAAAACTCTTGAGCTGTTGCAATGCTGCGTTACTTTGTGACGCTGTGCAAACTGACGGTGTAATTTAGCATCTCTGATCTTGTCAAGTTCCCAAATGAACTGAGCAACAAACATTAAATAGCATCTTCCACTGGCAGAATGCATTACTTTCCGAAGGCTTACACACAATGCATAATGCATAAAATTGTTCAAAAGCATGTTTCTGTTACTCTCACATTTTCTTTAAAACATCATTAGAAGGTTCATGCTTGTTGAAGTGTATATCGCCATACACTTCGGAGCTAACGGCCCACTGGCGCTACATAGTGTTGCCAGGGATATCCTGAGAAACGTTGATGCCGATTTTCACGAAAATTTATCAAATTGTTCTCATACTTACTTGCTTACTTCCTTCGGGAGCTGAGCCCTTCTTGAGGAGCCGCCAATTCTGCAGCTACTCAAGAATTTTACAGCATTTTATGGAATCCAAAGGTTCATTACCGTGTTCACAAGAGTCCTCCACTGGTCCCTATCCTGAGCCAAATCAATCAATTCATACCATCCCATCCTATCTCTCTAAGATCCATTTTAATATTGTCCACCTACTTACGCCTTGGTCTTCCCAGTGGTCTCTTTCCTTCTGGCTTTCCCACCAACATCTAATATGCATTCGTCTTCTCCCCATTCGTGCTACATGCCCTGCCCACCTCATCCCCCTTGACTTGATCATTCTAATTACACTTGGAGAAGAGCACAAGTTATCAAATTGTGCTCTACAATTTTTATATTAATATTTCAGTCAAGGGCCACACTGACAGAAAGAAACACAACTCAGACACAAGTAGCTTTGAGAAGACATTAATCTTCAAGAAAACATGGGGTTACAAAGTATTTACTTCAGAAAATAATGCACATTTAATTCTGCTCTGGTGTCTTTTTTAATGTGTTACTTCTTGTGCAGACCTTCAAAGCTTTCTCTTCACCTCAGAGAACACTGTGCCCCAATTTCGCTTCCTGTTTATTTTCATCTTGCGACTGTACCATGCACCATCCCCCTCCGAATCAAAGGAGAGGAAACCCGTTAAGGCATACGATAACACCGGCGAATGAATCACAGCTGAAGCTCTTCCCACGCCCACCGACTGAGACACCGGAACACACGCATTGAAACGAAGATCCTGTGCATTGTGCACAGCACAGGAAAGACAACCCACCAAACCATACATGCACCTATCCCCATGGAAATCACAGTTCTTCAAGAAAGGTACACACCGTAACACATTTTGTCCTAGTGCACAATTACTACATAATTTTCTCGCAGTAGAACTCGAAGGTCAAAAACACCAGTAATGAGAAAGCTCGCCATTGGACATAATTCTGAACACGTTCATCATCCCCCCACAAACCACCTCTCTACGATTAATCTTAATATTAT